CCAGAGATCGGCTGGGGTTAAGTTCGTAGGATTTGCGATGCAGTCGAACAGGTGTATAGTTGTGTGGCTTGTTTGCTGGCAGTCCGGGCAAAGTTCGCTTACTGTCGGGTCAATTCTGTTCATGTACGAGTTCAGGAACTTTGAGTAGCCGGATCTGAGCTGTGCCAGTGTTCTTCTTGTTGTTCTTGGTAATTCGGTTTCTTCTTTGGCAATTTTTGGTGGATTGTGTCCGAGGACTGCTGGGTGTTCGTAGGTTTGTAAGGCGTCGCGTACCTCATTTGTGTGGATCGTTTTTAGCAGGTTTCTGTACTTCTTTTCGGTTAGAGGTCTATTGCTGTCGAGTAGAGGTTCAATGTATCTTTCTTCATATCGTGTTTGGAGGGTTTCTTTCATGAGTCTTGGTGGGTTCTTGGGTTCTTTCGTGAGTTGGTTTCCTGGGTGATCTGGCAAGTGGTTGGCGAGATGATGTTGTATCGTTCGCATTCTGAGGTGTCGTCTAACTGGTAGAACGGATGTTTCTTGGTGAAGGTGGTCTATGTGTGTCATGGCGTGGCATCCGGTGATTGTTCTCAGGGCGCTGTTTTGGACCTTCTGTAGTTTCTCGATGTTGCTTTCGGAGAGTGTGGGCGTTATCACAGCGGCGCCGTACTCAAGTTTAGAGCGAACAACGGCTTTGTAGGTCATGAGGAGTGTTTCCTTGTCGCTTCCCCAGTCAGTGCCGGCAAGCGCTTTCAGGGCGTTGTTGCGTTGAGAGCATTTCTTCGCAGTGTCTCTGCAATGGGCCCCGAAAGTGTGCATGGTGTCGAAAGTCTGTACCTGTAGTCAATGGTATCATCGAAATTGTACGCCACTCACAGTTGAGAAAATCAAGAGTATGATCAGTTCCAACTGGCATTATGGCTGCGCTCAAACTGTCCAAACGAAGTTTTTTGGTAGGTATGTAGACGACATACTGAGGAGTGCTAAGTCCGCCGATATTGATGAACTCCTCAGAAATGTCAACAACCTCCATCGTAACCTGGAGTTTACTGTCGAGCGACAAGAATCTGGCTGTTTGCCGTTTCTGGATATGCTGGTGAAACAGACTGATTGCAGAGCCGACTGATACAGGTTTGACTCTTTCATTCAGGGCTCTTGCTCCGATGTGATACAGGAGAAGTATTGTGCAAGGCCTAGATCACCGCATCTTTAACGCTTCTTCATGTTGGCAGTTTTTCACTGATAGCATCTGCGAAGCTAGCCAGATATTGGATAAAAATCAATACCCACCTTAGTTTTACGAGCCCATCATTCGTGAAACGGTTACTAGGATTCTCCACGGGCCATCAGAAGAACCTGCGACTTCTCAAGCTAAGAAGAAACATATCCGCGTTCCTTTCGTGATGCAGTACAGAGACAATAAGAGTGACGTTTCTTCTAAACGCTTGAGAAAAATGGCCGCTGTTTTTTTCATTTTCACAACCAGACAGATGTAAACAGCGCTACCAACTATCAAGTCAAAAGTTCCAGAATCTATTCGCAGTAATGTGGTGTACGAAATTGAATGTTCTAGATGCCTATCTAGCTATGTCGGGCAAACTACTCGCCACCTTGCTACAAGCTGAACGAACATTCCAGAATCAGTAGTCCAGTTGGAGAGCACTTACAGACATGTGGTTCTGATCTTGAGAAATGCGAAGTGAAGATTGTCGACACATCCAGAGACTCTGCTAAACTTTTGACTTTAGAAGCCTTGCGTATCAAGCGGAAGAAACCTCTGATTAACAGGAAAGAGGAATACAAGGCACGCGAACTTACACTGAAGCTGTGATTACATTGCTCCACATTTTCGTGTCTTGTTTCATCTATTTCTTGCTTATTGCAGTTTTATCTGTTCTCTTCAGTTATTTTTTTGTGAGTTTGTGCTTTTCATCTGTACATTCCATTGCTTTTCAGATTTTACTCATGATGACTTTTTGTCGAAAGCGTTTTTTGCAACACTGTTGTTTTTCGCAAGATCATGTTTTCATTTTATTATAATGTTTTTTTTTCACGGTTAAATCGTTTAGGCTTATGTTCTCTCGACTTTGTCATCTTTTTTGGCAGAACAAAATCATTTGAATTGTTTTTGTAGGCAGTCAAACTTAACTATTGGCTACTAATACTGGTGAGCACTGGTAAGTGCTCTATCGAGAATTCTTACCAAACTTAACTATTGGCTTCTAATACTGGTAAGCACTGGTAAATGCTCTATCCAGAATTCTAAACATTGTTTGTATGATAATAGAAATTTCGATCTCATTTTTGCTGATTTTTCTGCTGCATGGTTGTCGACTGAAGCTCTGTCGATTTACTTTTTTAAATGGTGTATACAATCTTGCTAAGTTACCAAATAGCATTCGTGGATCCTGTGTGGTTTCCAGATGATTTTTTCGCCAAAAATTTTGGTTGATATTCAATTTATTGGGTGTCTGCGTTATTGTTTCGGCTAATTTGGCTATTATTTTAATCTTTAAATCTTCCGGTGATTTTTTTTAGATTGAAAGGATTGAACAACGTTTTTGAATGCTCAAAGTCCAAAAAAAACTAGTCTATTTTTTTGAAAACGATAATTACAAATTCAAGGATTGTTTTGCAGTTTAAGAGAAATTAATAACATGGCAAAAATTGTTTTTGACTTCTCAAACTTCATCAAGAGTTTTCTTTTGGCATATTTTTGCTCTTGGGCGTCTTCTCGCGTATTGCGGGCTTAGTGGCCGCTACAAAAGTACTAAACCCTTTTTTGATGCTACTGGTTGTGTTTTTTTAAACTTTTTTTTTCAGAAATTGAATTTTCATTTTCTTCAAAAAGCTAGATCAATTGTTTCAACGTTTTTTTTCGCTTAAAATTTTTTCGACCCGTTTTTTATTCACTGGCTTGCAATGCTATGCGTATGTTATAACCTAATTGATGGAAAGCCCTGTTTCGGCTCTGTGTAGTTCTTGCTTTAACTCAAGGGTGTTAGACTCAAGACCAAGAAATAAGGCAGTAAGTCTCAACCTAGTTCTTAAATTTCATCTTTTTGTTTTGCGATCTTTTTGTTTTGCTACTTTATATCTAGGAAAGGTGGGAAAAAATCTTCATTCATTTGATGTCATTGAATGTGTTAAGCATCCAATCTTAGGTAGTTTCTGTGAGCAGGTAGTCCTCTCTTCATAGCTCGTTATGGTGACAATTTCCTTTGTCACTTGGATGTTGGGTGTTCGGTTCCATTCGAGATTCAGTTTTCTGTACCACATGCTTAGCAATTGGCCCAATGTCTTTTCGAAACGTCGAAATATTTTGAATTCTTTGTACGGTAATCAAATCCTTACATCGATTTTTTCCAGGTTACAAATTGTCGAATATATTCATCGAATCATTCTGTCAACTATCCTCGATTTGTCTTTTTGTATAACTTTATGTATAAATTTATATGTAACTAAAATTAAACAAAAATAGAAAATCGAGGTTGTTAATTTTACCACCAACATTTAGAATAAAAATTCCAATAAGCGGTTAAATTTGTTGCAATCCTGCTCAAAAGATAAGATGTATGTTGAAGGAAGAGTTTGTAGAATTCTTCGATGAATCAATTCGACAATTTGTAACCCAGAAAAAGTCGATGTACCGATTTGATTTACCGTACAAAGGATTCAAAATGTTAATCTATTCAACAATTTGTAGCCTAACAAAAGTCGATGTACCGATTTGATTAAAGTACAAAAGAATCGAATTGTTTTTCGATGTTTCGAGAATACAAAGGGGCCAATTGCTAAGCACGCGCTATAGAAAATTGAATCTCGAATGAAACCGTGTGCCCAACTTCTAGTGACATAGGAAGTTGTCACCATCACAAGCTGTGGAGAGAGAACTAGCTGCTCACAGAAACTACCTATGATGACCTATGATTGCATGCTTAACACAATCAAAGACATCGAATGGCTGAAGAATTTTTTCCCGCCTTCGATTGTTATACTGTAGCAAATGTTAAACAAAAAGATCGTGAATTTCGAAAACTTCTAAAAAATGAAATTTGAGACTAGATTAAGACTAACTGCCTTATTTCTTGATCTCGAGTCTAACACCCTTGAGTTAAAGCAAAAACTACACAGAGCCGAAGCAAGGCTTTGCATCAATTAGGTTATAACATAAGCATAGCATTGCAAGCTAGCGAATAAAAAATGTGTCGGAAATTTTTAAAGCCTTGTTTTTGCCTTTAAAAGTTTTGTCTTTTTTTGTAGGGTTAGACTCCTCATATTGAGTCATTTGATGGCCGAAATAAATTTTTCGCGATTGTGTGTCAAAGGTGGCTTAAAAACTTGAAATTTAAGTATGTTTCAGATTTTTTATTCCGACTCAAAGGGCGTTCCCCTAGTTTTTGTCTACCTAATAACCGCTCCCAAAAGTTTTTTGGAGGCCAATTTAACTCTACGAGTTGTCTTATTTGTTGATATTTCCTAAAATTGAACTTCATTCAAGACAAATTGAGACAAACGTATGATCGTTTTGGTAAATAAAGTTTTTTCGGCTTTTTTCTCAAACAATTTCTATCACCGCGGCTTTTTCTGTCGGTAGTGCGTCACAAAGGCGAATACTCGAATAGCTAGAAAAAGATTGTCCCCGTCTGGCCGAAAACTTTCAAATTTTTTTAAAAAAAATCTCTTAATGAACGCACGACATTACATTATGCATGAGAGGTATAGTGCAACTGAATTAGTTTTTACCACAACTCTTTTTTTAATATTGTTTTATCAAATGTGTTATTTATATGTTCAAAGTTTCAAAAAGATGTTAAGTTGCCTGGAATATTGTGATTTTGTAGCCACAGATATCTTGAGAAATACTTTTTTGATGAAGTTGCAGTAATTCTTTATCATGTTGTAATTTACCTAGTTGTGATTTTGTTTCCTTTTTCAAACGCAAGTAATACGAAATTCTCTTACTTCAATAAGAATTTTGCGATTACTCAATTCAAGAAAGAAAGTTTTATTTTTGATCACTTCACATTCAAAATTTATTTTCACAATCCACTATATGCGTTGATAAGAAGGTAAATATTCAAAGTCCATATAGCGTTGCGAGTTTCTATAATAGAGGTAAACTATAAACAGCATGGACGCCAGTGTTATCACTACGGCTGTGTACACTGCAAATATCCAGAACAGACTGAAGTTGTAGAGAGCTTCTTCGCAGTATACGAATGGCGGTTCTTGCGGGATTTCGGTATGAGGGTAGTAGATGCTGAAGACAAAGTAGTTCCCCATGCAGTACCAGACTGTTTGAAGGGCTGTTAGAACCCACACGAAGTTCTAAAACAGGTTGTTCGAAATTGTCTTTTGAAAGGAAGTTATTTAAGTCAAGCCCTAAATCTCTAACTTGAAAGTTACTTCAAAACAAGAAAATTGATGATTTTTTATATTTATTTGGTATTTCTTCTAAACAAGAAAAGTAATGATTTCGTATATACTTGTATTGATATTATTGTAGCAATTGGAATAGTTATTTTTCACAATCTATTTTTTCTAAGATTTTTTTTCGATTTGTAAAGTTATATGAATAAAGATTTGTGCTTTTTGTTGCATCGTTTTTTTGAATGAGAGAGTAAAGAGTATTGACTGACTTTGGAGGATTTGTAGCTGGAGGCGTCGAAGTCTTCCAGCAGCTCTCCTGATTCGTCCTGTCGCACTTTGCCAACTATCCGAATGAGCAGAATGCAGAAGAACATGAGGAGGATGCCAGTGATTATGAGCCAGCTGGGAAGCCATTCGCTCGCCGGACATTTGTAGTAGTTTCCGCCTCCTAATCAATATTTTGAGAAAATCTTAATTTTTGTATTTTTTTCATGTTCGTTGCTAAATTCTTTAATGAAGTTGTTTAGATTTAAAACCAGTTCAGTTCAAGTCATTGGATAATCATAATAGTTCTGGGGTCAAATTGAATTCAGTGTATCAATGGTATGAGATTGTGGCTTAACCGTTTTATTGTTTACTCGTCTTGTAAAATGACTCACCGATAGCTATCATAGCGATTGGAAGAACCATCAGTCCGCCCAGAACGACAGTACACGGAACTGAACAAACAAAAATGTATCAACTGGAATCGTCAATTTGATTTTATTTTTCATTGTAATTTTGACAATTTCAAATTGTGTTGTTTTTTTTTCATTTATCTCTTAGTAACAGGGAAGCAAATAGTTGAACCTTATCAAATTATTCGAAAGTGTTGATTTGTCTGAATACAAACTTTCAAACACGCGTGCAATTTTTTTCGCAAATTTTTCCTTCGATTGAGCTGAGTTTGATTGACAATCGAGCCGATGTGAAATATAAATAAATGTCAGAAGAATTCGTTTCCCCAAAAAATTGACATATCACTGTTTCTTCTTAATCGTATACAATGAAATTTTTCCTTTGAACACATGTTTCGTATTGTAAGTGGTGCGAAATTTTGGGTAAATGAAAGTTAAATCTTTTTGTTAAACATGCCATTTTTTCGCAATCGCAATCATTTTTTTTCGCAGTTGATATAAAGCTCGGTTTTTCAGTGTAAATTGCAACAACAAATTTAAGGTTGCTTGCTATTGGCATAAATCTAATTAGATAGGTTATTTTAATGGCGCATTTGATTTTAGACTTGGTATGAAGCCAGAATCTATCCATGAAACTAATCGACGGCTTCGAATTGCCAGCGCTTTCTTCGGGATTTCTACAGTTTTCATGGGTGGCTTCTTTTACAGATTATTGACGAAAGATGAAAAACTAAGGATTAAAATGAGATATTCTGAAGACCAAGGACACGTTTATATGCTGGATGCTTTTTATAGAAGCTCAAAATATTTATCTGGCATTGATTATCGCCAGTTAGATGACAGCAAACTCCAAAATATGCAGAAAGAATCGGATTAAAACCTGTAGTTTTTACGAAATAAATCCTCTAAGATGGCGTGATTTACTTTAATTTTAACCTAAGTAGAAATAATCGTAGGTTTTTCTTTGTTGCTTTGAAGAATTAGCTTTCATGTTTATAACTTGGTGTTTTAAGGCTTATGGTAGAAGTGGCCTTCGAGTCAGAAGTGACAGAATGTCAGGAAATGGTTCATCAATTTTGAACATTCAGCAATGTTCAATATTCAGCAAGAGTAGCTGGTTGCTGTGCAAGTAAAAGTAGCACAGCAAGTTCCGACCATATTCATTGAAAATATATATATTTTCAAAATTTGTGCCGTTTTATGTGGGTGGTAGAATCAGAGAGCGTTAGTAAATGTTGTTGTGATTCAAAGTTGTTAAAATTTGTCTTTAACGAAGGAATAGCAAAACAAAAGCAATCGAACAAAAACTGCAATAAAAAATAAAAAAAAATTGCTAATTTTTTTAGTTGCAAGTTTTCGCAGTAAGCCACCCTGTGAAACTCTGAATTCTAGTTGGCTAGTTCTAGTTAGTGTGAAATAATGCCTAAAACCAAAAGCATGATTTCCTCTCTAAATTGATTTAGGGTTCTACTCTTAGCTTAGTACTAATACTTTAATGACTAGAAATGGGGCGACTCACATCCAATGGCGATTGCTCTTACTGTCTTGTTCATCAGGTCAAGTAAATTAGTCGACGTCTCCTGTGCTTCTTTCATTCCATCGAACAAACTACCAGCCTGGGTTGGTTGCCGACTGAGATGATGTTTACTGTGCGAGTTAGAACCCGAATGGAAACTCCGCCCTTTTTTCAATGGTCAATTTAATTTTGAGACTCCGCCAAACGAAAAGAAAAGAATTGCTAAATAGCGTCTTGATTAGATTTATTAATCTAAGTATGAATTTTCTGATTTATTCAAATATATAATGCGCGTGAATCGGTGCTTATGCAGTTTTTTCTACTGAACAAAGAACGCCTTCAAATGGGCTGCTCCCCGTATTTCTCTAATGAAGACTGATTAAATTGTCTCAATTTGAAGTTTAAACTGAATTTTCTGTAGCTAAAAAGAATTGATAGTTTTGGCTTAAATGTCTGAATATCAAAGTGATTGATTTTCTGCCAAATTATTAAAACAGTAGATTAAACGGAAATTTCTGATTCGCGCCCACTATGTGTCTCGAGCCGAAAGTAAGCGAAGCACAGAAAGCGGTAGCTATTTGCCTATCCTTTGTTACGAATTGTCGCCTAATCATACAATTGATGAATCACTTGTAAAATATATCCTTGAATTTTCAAAGAAAGTAAACTGATAATCTCTTAATCTTCTTTGAATATTGAAGCTTTTTGGAAGTGAAACGGAGATTCCAAAATATAATGGAGACATTTTTAATGTTTTGTTGAAACCTAACCCAGGATAAGCGAGAAGTCGGGTAGTCTGAAAATTAAATTGATTCTATTTTGGTGACCTTCAGTTGATTCGCTGCTGTGCATTGCGACACCATTAGAGGTCAAGTTACTACTGTGAGGGTGTATTTGGTCCAGAAGTTGGTAGCTCATTTGTCCCCAGTTGGAACTGACAGATGCCAGATGATCTGGATTGGGTTTGTTGGAACCAAGTTGTTGAGATTCAAGTCCCTCTCCTTGTTGGTAGAGTTTTTGGTGCTAAAAGTAATCAAGTTTTTAAGACCGAATTAATTGGGGCAATTTGGAATTATTTTTGGTATCTATAATTTTTATTATGCTTAAATTTTCGAGATTTTTTTAAAAATTATGAATTCGATTTTTGTTTCAGTAGAAAATAGACACGTTTTGTTAATGCTTGATTTAGACGTGCTTAATTGGTTTTGTTAGTAGTTTTACCTGGCCCGTAGTTTCTTGGTAACCAGCAGAATTTCCCCGCTCCATTGTCCAGTCAAGATCGGTGCTGATATATTAATAGTTTTACAATCGCTATAAGCGCCTGAGGAGTTTCTGCTGCTGGTGTTGCTGGAAACAAGTCTCTTGTTGTGAAATTGAATCAAAGTCGAACTAGCGAAACCGGAGACACAAAATGAAATCAAATAGTCATTACCAACTTGGAAAAGGAACCGATTAATAATGCTTTTCGCATTTCACCCGGCAATTTTTTTCATCGGCATTGTAAATAGTCTTGGTATGCTTAATACTGCCGCTTGTGTTAAATTTCACGCTCTTCTGGGAGTTGAAGTAATTTCATATCCCTTAATTTGGATGAAGGCTTTTTCAGTATTTTGGTTTTCCGCCCAGAATTATAATTCAGATTCAGTCTATATTTGTCGTTGAAACTTCTTCAAACGGTTTTATTTACACTCTGCTTTTTGAGTTGGGAATTTACGAAGTGAAGGAAGGAATTATGGCGTAAGGTGTTTTTTCTTCCTCAAGGTAATCTATTTGGGGTTCACGTGTGATATCATATCAAAGCCCTTTAAGTCGTGATTCCGAAGTTCAAATCCAATTTTAAAATGTGTTTTTTTTTTGGATTTTGAGATTTTTTGTCAATCAGTGTGGTCATATTGAGTCATTTTTACAAGCTAATTAGCACGTTCATGTGTTCATTTCTGTGTTCAGTTTTTTAGCACATGCATATAATTCAGTTAGTTCACGAATTTGACCAATTTGGGATGATAAATGAGCGCTAGTAATCAGTTTTCTATTAACAGTGTGCGTAGGCGGGAAATTAATCTGTCTCAGAAATCATACCAAGTTGAATTAAGACTAGTAAGCTATTTGGCCTACTGGTTCTTAACTAGGAGAGAAAAATATCTTTTTGTCCTGGATCACATTGCTTGGGTGGTTTTAAAAAATTGCTTGTTTGCCACCGCAACTTCTGTATGAATTTTGTTACTAGTATTGGAAAAATAAGGATCCTTTACTTTACCTCAATTCACTTTAGAGTGGTTCTGAGCCAGACGCCATATAGTTTTCGCGGTTTAATCATTACAAGTTTCCAAACCCGCATAATTTTTTGAAAAGTTAAATATCTTCTCAGTTTGATCTCAGATAATTGATCTTTTTGTTGATATTCAAAAATATACAATCCGAATTATATTAGGACGTCAATTAGTTGGAATGGTTTTTTTTTCTAGAAATAGCATGACATTGGAAGGCTTTTTAACCAACTAAGCTTAGTTGGTGATTAAATGCCATCAGTTACCCAAGCAAGCTAGCCAGCGTAGTGTTAAAATGTTAAAATAGGAATCCAATTTTCCGAACCCAACTCGCATAAAATAGTTCCCTTTGGTGTTCATTTTGGCTAAATAGCATTGGCAATTTGATAGCTTGGGTTTGAAACACTTTATTGGTGGCTAGTGGTCAAGTAATTCAGGCAGGCTAAATTAGCATAAATGCGAGGACGCCAGGATCGTAGTTTCCAGGCTGGCGGTTCGATTCCTGCAGATGACAAGTTTTTTCGGAGATTTTTTGTGCATCAATCTTGTTTTGCCATTTTGAAGCTACGTTTTGCTCCTTTTGTCGCTTGTTCTTCTCAAAAGGAAGCTTGGACACGTGTAAAATTTTCATTTCGCTAGCGATTAGCAAGTGATATCACCCGGAAGATGGAAATTCTCTCACAAAATCATTTGATAGCTTGATTTACATTCAACCAAGTCAATTCTTTGAATTATCTCGAGTTTTGTAAGCCTGATTGATGGCTTGTGATTTATATCTACTACCCCCCCCCTCCCCCTATATAAAAAGTTAATCGATACAAAAATCTGCGTCCAGTTTGTAAAACTGGCTGAATTGTCTCAGGCTGAATTGTCTGTATACTTTTGACTGAATTGCCTGAATTTCAAATTGGCTGAATTGTCGCCGCAAAATCAAGATTTCGTTCTAAATAGGTGTAGTTATTTTTCTATTAGATGCGGGCCGAAAGAGGGGTGGGGTTTAGTTGAAGATATCAAAGTGAATTTTGACTGACCGTTTTTTTGCCACTAAATGTTTGTAAAATTGGTGGAAAGCTAAAAGGACGAACAATTTGAAGGATTTCAGTCTTGTATTTATCGCAGAGTTATAGCGGAGTCGTAACTTAAATTTTTTAAGTCAGCTTAGAGCAAAGGAATTGATATATTTGAACAGCAGGTGTCTTTTATGAGTTTATTAACCCTGACTTTGACCTGATTGCCAATAACTAGTTCATAACTACATACCTCTTTATGGGGATGTTTTGAAGTGTTTGACTTCAAATAAAAGGAAATGGTAAAATGAGCCCTTTATATGGGTAACTTCTGAATCGGAAATGGTGTTGTTATGTTGTGACAATAATTAACAATCTTGTTGTGAATGAAGGTAATGTAGATGGTAAGTTATGGCTTTGACTACAAACCAAGTGTGTATTGATGAGGTGGAATTTGGACAAAAAATTACCTCGGCCTGCTGCGTTTTAAAATCACACTGTCAAGTATTGTGTTGTGCAATTTCCCTCGGGGCTATTTTTGGAAAGGAATTGAACTTTTTTCCGAACTCAAAAGAAGAAAAAATAGAATATAATTAGCTGTTTTGCCCCATTAATAGGATGTTGCGTTTTGTTTCCGAAATCAGAAAGCGCTTTAAATTTAGTGTGTCAATTAATCAATGATCAATGAATTTCTTTTTCAATTATAGCTTTGAATAGATGGTCATGGTACAACACTTAACTATTAAGTTTTGAACAATCATGTGGATGTCAAAAATGAAATTTTAATTAGACATTCAAAAACGTAATTTTTTGGCAAATGTTATATAATTTAGGCCAACTGTTCAAATACTGGAGCTATTGTTTTTATTTATAATTAACGTTTCGGGGGGGGGGGGGGACATTTCCAAACTAATTGTTTTACATGTATTTGTGGCTAAGATAGGAAAAATTTCGTGATGTTTCTAGACCTGGGCGAAGAGACAAATGCCGGGTAGACGAGTGTTAAGTTATATTTATTGATTAATTGATCGTCAGGGCTTGCTCTTCTTCTTTTTTGACATAATCGAATTTTTTCCAGCTCCTCACCTTTCGCGAAATGTCGTTCATAAATACCAGTAACTGAAAGCTAACCTAATAAAAATGCCACGATGACCAAAATCAAAAAAGCAAGCCGCGAATGCATTTTAACCCTTGAACGTGTGTGTACATTAGTTAGGCTCAACAAAAAACTAACCAAAATGGCCCAAAATTTTTACCCATTTTTGAGTGGCGTTCAACTAACAATTTTAGTCGGCTTTAATCTAGAAAAGCCTCGATTTGTTCCATTACAAGTTGTATTCTATCTATTGATTGTATTATTTTTCAAGTGGGCCGCCAAAGATAATTTAGCCAACGGGGGCTATTTTGCTATCAGGAACTGCTTAGAAAAGGGAAATTAAAACTATCGATTCCAATTTGCCAAATCGCATCCCTAGCTGTCAGGTTTCGGAAGCTTATAATTTTTGGTTGATAGCTATAATCATTGCAGTTTTTTGTTCAGTTGATTTTCTTTATATTGAGCTTTAAACGCACTTCATCGTTCGCTTAATTGATAGTGACTGCTGCTAATTGCTCAGCATTGAAGTTCTTTCAAGTTCAATTGATGTCCTTATTCTTCCGACAACTTCAGGAAGTGCATCGGATAAGATGATTATCCCTGTAAAAAAGGGCCAACATAGGAGCTGTTAAAAATTACATGCAATTATTTGGGTTTTTTCCTGGGTTAACCCTCAAGCAATGAGCGCAGATCATCGGAGAGATCTAACTACTTGGCCATTGCGCCCGGTCGGAAGGAAGGAACTGTGGTATCAGAAATGGGAATGAACAATGGCTTATGATATATTTTTTTCGAGAGACTTAAGCAACTTCAAAGAGAACTCAAAGGTTTTTTGTTGTTATCCCAGACGGGGCGCGTCCGGCATGCTCAAACCGAACTCTAGACTCGGTCGACCGAAGCCCCGGGTCCATTGGGGTTAACGTGGTGTTGTTTTTCGAAAAGTTAAAAAAGTGGAGAACAGTAAGGGGAGGTGTATCTGCAATAGCTTACGCGATATTTTTGTCCGCATTTGTTTTGAAGTCTTTTTAAAATTATGAGAATAAAAAAGAACTTAGTTCGTTTAAATCATTCAATGTAGTAAAAAAGTACAGGTGCTGTTCGTGAGAATATGTTCTTAACAGGTATAGATTTCTCAAATGTTGTTGGGTGGATGTTACAAGGAGTTTTGAGTTTAAAAATTAGGAGGTTTGTAGGAGGTTTGAAAATGTGGGATGTTTGAGGGAATAAAAGAAAGTTTTTAAAGTAAACTGGGAGGAGAGTAGTTCATTGTGTTAAAAATCTAAAATTTTGCATCCGAATAGTCATGTCTTGGGGAAAGACATTACAGCGCGAAGAACTCGTTCTAGCGTTAACAATTCCTAGGTGGGCAATTGGGGCATAATATTAAACCTCTATCAGCCGAACAAAAGTCCTATTTTCGAGAAAAGTTGTTTAAAATATTTAGCTTTTTAGACTTAAATTTAGGGAAGGGCTGACGAAATATGTGTTTCCTATTTCTACAACATATATGGTTCAGTAAAAAAGACTGCGGGTCAACCTTTTTGCCCGGACAAAGAATTCTGATATTTTAAATTATATATGACGGAGTTTCTGGGTTACAGTACAAAGTCTCCTCTGGGTAGTTTTTATCTGTAGTTTCCAGATCCGAAAAATCAAACTTGTTAATCTACACGTTTCATCTAGTTTTTCATACAAACCAGCCGAAGTATAAAACAACTACCATTCATATAAACCAGCCGAAAATAACGAAATGTTAAATAATAATGATGTAACAGTTCTGTAAAACATGATAATCATGCAACTTTCAACTGAAATGACGGAAATTTTGGCTGATTTATATGCTTGCTTTCGCACCTAAGTTCGGCTGATTTTATATGCTTTTTCGGCTGGCTCATTCATCGGCTAGTTTATTCACACTGAAACGTATTATTAATTTAGATGTCTTTTTTACTGAATATACGTGTAATGCGAAGGTGTCTCGCTGTGAATAATTTAAAATGCTCTGTGAACTGTCAGATAATAAATTATTCTGTCCATTTTATTGATGTTTTTGTTATATTCGTTTTTGTTAGTAGTTTTATTGCTTGATTTTCCCTCCTCAGATAGAGAAGTTGAGTCCCACCACAGACAAAATATTGGTCAAATTTGGAGAAAGTAACAAAAAAATGAAAGCATAAAAATATAACCTGGAGCTGGGCGATTGAGACGGAAAGTTCTGACATTATTAATTGAAGTTAGAAAAAATAGAGACAAAATTTCCAGCTTTTCCCTGTATTTTGAAGCCAAAATTTCGAATCATGTGTTCTTGAGTAATGCAATAAGTCTTAAGCAACTAGTTTTTATTTATGCAATTGCTAACATTGGTTGTCAGCATATAATCAGTATGCTAAATGTCGACTAGATTAATTTTTTCTCGAATCCAAAGTAGTTGTGTCAATTTTTTTTCGGAATGTGATTTTAAAAAGGGAAAATAAAAGGTTTCAAATATAAAACACGACGTATTCCAAACGGACGTTTCTATGGGGCATATAAGACAACAAAGTACAGATGCTTTAATCAAAATTTCCCGAGTTTTTTGAAAAATACCATTTTTAGCAGAAGAAATTTATTTCATCAGAGGGTAATCTACTAACCTTTTTTCTTCTATGTTTTGCCGTTTTGATTATTTTAGTTCTCATATGTTTTGATCGAATCTGGATTCGTCTGAAGACGGAAAATTAGACATTGCGCTCAATCCTAATCTTTCTTTGATTATATAGAATTAGGGCATCTGCACTCATTGTTTTTCTAAAATTCTCTTCAGTAATCCTCTTTTTGATCCAATAAGTATTCTGGTGTGTGCAATCTAGAAATTAGAATGAGCGATTGGTTTACTGTTTAGATCGATAACAGAAAACTTACTTCAACCATAAATTTCATATGACCGGTATGGTTTTTTAGTTTCTTTAGATGTCAAATCTACTTGAACTAGAAATTCGTATGCCAGATATTTGTGGGTCTTTTTGCTGTCTTTAGTGGTTGGCCTCCAGTTCCTTGTCTCAAGATTCTCATCTCTAAATTTTGAAACCAAGTGTCACTCGCTTGGAAGTTTCTGTGGGCTAGCAATTGTATTCTTAAGCAATGCTTGATCTAATTCAGGATGTAATGGCGTTGAAAGCGCCTTGACAATGTCAATCGGTCTGTGAGAATCTCAAACGACCTTAATGACATTTTTCAGGAAAATCATTTTTTTTTAAACCGAGGGCTTATTATCAATGCCAGGCGTAATAAGTGGCTTAGCTTCGATCAAATTATTTTCTCATTGATATTTCTGGTTTTTGAATTTCTGGAAATGTAAACCCAAAATTGTTCACTTTTTCTTCGTTTCAGATCTGAATTGACTTCGTGAGGCTCTTAGAGAAACTACTATGACTGCAAGCGGAGACACTGCGAGAAAAATGCCTACCAGCAACAGAACACAGGGCGGAGGTGCAGTGTTCAAGGACAAAGAGAAGCCCGAGCATGTTCGGGACAGCAACATTGTTGCCGCGAAAGCAGTCGCCGACGCCATACGAACGTCACTGGGACCCCGAGGCATGGACAAAATGATCCAGCAAGGCAATGGAGACGTCACGATTACAAATGATGGAGCCACTATTCTGAAGCAAATGCAAGTTTTGCACCCTGCTGCCAAAATGCTGGTCGAACTGTCGAAAGCGCAAGACATTGAGGCAGGCGATGGAACGACGTCTGTCTGTGTTATTGCAGGAAGCCTCTTGGACGCCTGTAGAAAACTACTTAACCGCGGGATCCACCCGACAACCATATCGGAGTCTTTCCAGCGTGCAGCGCACAAGGCCATCGAGATCCTTGAAGGCATCAGCAAGCCTATAGACTTGAATGATCGGGAGTACTTGGTCAAAAGTGCCTCGACGTCACTGAACTCGAAAGTGGTATCGCAGTACTCATCGCTTCTTGGACCAATGGCCGTCGACTGTGTTTTGAAAGTCGTCGACTCCCTCGAAGACGATCAGGTCGATCTAAGGAACGTCAAGATTGTGAAGAAACTCGGAGGTGTCGTTGAAGATAGCACTTTGATTGATGGGATTGTTCTGGACCAGAAAACCAAAAATGTCGGAGGACCCAGCAAAATAGAGAAAGCGAAGATCGCTTTGATTCAGTTCTGTATCTCGCCGCCCAAAACTGATATGGAAAACCAAGTTATCATTTCGGACTACACGCAAATGGACAGAGTTTTGAAAGAGGAGCGAGCGTATATTCTGAACATTGTGAAACAAATCAAGAAAGCGGGATGTAATGTGTTGCTGATTCAGAAATCGATTCTTCGAGATGCGGTCAGTGACCTGGCATTGCACTTCTTTGCCAAGATGAAAATCCTGGTTGTAAGTGATATCGAGAGAGACGATATCGAGTTCCTCTCGAAGACTCTCGGAACCAGACCAATTGCGTCTCTTGATCACGTCATTCAAGAACACCTGGCGACAGCGGATCTGGTTGAGGAAATTCCGGTTGGAACCGATAAGATTGTTAAGATCACAGGAATCGAGAAGAAATTCAAGACGGTCACAGTTCTGATGCGAGGATCCAACAAGCTAGTTCTTGACGAAGCTGATAGGTCTTTGCACGATGCCTTATGCGTGATCCGGTGTTTGGTCAAGAAACGAGCAGTTATCGCCGGCGGAGGTGTTCCGGAAATCGAAGTGCATCTTCGCTTGATGGAACATGCCCAGAAGCTCTCAGGTATGGACGCCTATTGCTTCCAAGCGTTTGCCGACGCAATGGAAGTGATTCCCTATACATTGTCGGAAAACGCAGGTCTGAACCCGATCGAAACAGTTACAGAGCTGAGAAACAGACACGCTAACGGGGAACTGAATGCGGGAATCAATGTAAGAAAAGGATGCATCACGAACATAGAAGATGAAAGTGTGCTGCAGCCTCTGCTGGTGTCGACAAGTGCGATCACGTTGGCAACCGAAACTGTGAGGAGCATCCTGAAAATCGACGATATAATCACAGCAACTGGACATTAATGCACGATTGAAAATTAGCTGGAAAATGCGACACCAAATATTTTCACAACCAATCGAGTATAAAAGCTAATGAGTGTTGAAAATGCGAGTGTGAATTATGGATAAAGAATTGTTGATATAAAATGTAAATGATGTAAGTCCATACATAATTCCTATATACAATTGTGGATCTTGTTGTGCATTGATGGTTTACTTGATTACTTGATCCGTGATAATACATGCTGGCCAAATTCAAATATTACCACCTGTCAGCTTTTTAAACTTAGAAAAGCAGTGAACTTTTGTACAGTTGATTTCTTGATTTGCAGCCGAAGGTACTCTAAAAAAATTTGATCAAAAGTTGATCAAATAACGCGTTATTTGATCAAAAGTTAATTAATAGAAAGAAGAAGACTTCTGGACACAGCAATTTCAATAGAACTTAGAGCGGACATGTTGCGAGAAAATTCAATGGGGCGAAACAAAAAATAGCACACCTTCATATAATCGAAAAATGTTAAGAACACTTTTGTAGCATTCTGGGCTCATATATTTCACTCATGTTTTAGGAGTTGATACACGTAGTGAAAGGTCTTGTAAAGGTCGAGAATTGAAGTTTTTCAAAAAACAAGTCAGTTTTTTTCTGTTTCCTTGCGTTCATCGACTGTTTGTTGGCTATGTCTTTGTTTCTCATTCATTTTGCTGTAATAACAGCTTAATTTATCAAATAACAGCAATAATTTATCAGTGTCATAATTTAACTTTTTTTGCCAATTGGAAGCTAGTCGGTTTTTGCTTTTGTCAACCATTTTTGAAATTCGAAACAAATCAGTTTTATTCTAAATCGCTAACTTTTAATTAGAATTTTGATGTCGATAGATCACTTGGTCTGTTTTTTTTTGGGAGGGGGGATTATTCACATGAGCCAATAATTACACAATCAATTACGACTGCTTGATATGGATGTCAGACATCAGGTTGACAGGGCCTCCAGTCAAGTTTAAAAAATTCAAGTCGAACTTATGTACTCCAATTCAAAATAAAGTGAAAAGCTTAGTTTACTCTGCATGCGTGGAAAGTTTTTCAACCTTATTTAGTCACCGCCTCTAGGACACTGTTTTTTTTTTCAGTTGGTTAGTTAATGTTGAGAGGCGTTAGAAGGCCCGTAAGGCTCTCAGCACAGCTGCTGTATGCGCCCTCTAAAAATCCCCTACCATACTCAAGGTAACAGCATTAATTCGTCGAAATGAAATCAAATTCTAAACTAAATAATTTTTCTAAAATTAAACTGTTATTTAGTCTGTCATCATTCAAACTGTTAAAAACTACTCGTTTAATTACACTTCGTGAAAAACAGTCGGCATCAAATTTGGGTCTCAACTCGTCAGTTTGGCCGAACTATTATTGCATTCGACTAGCGTCCAGCAGCTCAAACGACGATGACAATCGGGATGACAGACCAACGAATGGCGGTAAGTTAGGTTGTTAAATGACCAAGTTTTGAAAAATCTTTCAAGCACGTAAGTTGCTTAGTACTTGTCATCTTTAAAAATCACTGTACGAGAATTGAATTGATTTTAGGTTACTTAATTTTCAGCTATTTTAACATTTCCTGTTTTTTGTACCATGAATTTTGTGAAAGAATGTTTTCATGTAACTGGTTTTTGTCAATAAAGTTAAATCTCAGATTTCACAACTTAGGAGGTAGTGGGGACGGTGACGATGGGGGAAATGGGGAGGATGAAAAGTTGGATGAGATGATTTCGAAGTTGGATAAGGAGCGAGATGAGGATGCATCTACAGACGAGATGTTTGAGGATGATCTAGGTAATTGGTTACACGTCGATACCAATGTATTGACTTATAATGAAAAAATCGTTTAACTTACAACCGTATAATCCGTCTATCGTATGAACAATAAGCGTATATTTTGGCTTTCGTATGAAAAACGTATAATCGTATAACTTGAGATCAAAATCCTTACTCAATAATAGCAACAGCTCAAGGATTTATAGATTTTTATTGATGTTCGATTTTATTTTTTCGCCCCAAAACCTCTGATTGCTCTCAGAAAACTTTTTATGCGCCTAATATCGATCATTTTGCAGTACTCAATGAAATACTCTTAGTCTCGCTAAAAAGAGTCGCTAATTATTGGTTTCGTATTAACGTAAATTTTATCGTGTAAATCTGATCTCCGTATAATTTTATATCGTATAAGGGTTTTTTCCTATAATTTTTTTAAAATCATATAATGTACAAAACACTGGTCAATACTCAGGTGGACTTGTCAAAGTTTTAATAAATGATTGATACTTGAGAAAATTTTGTGTAAAAGCGACGTATGTTGGAAATGCAAAGAATCAAGCGCGGATTTCGAGGTGATTGCGCACTGTTTTTTTTTTGTCTAAATAGGGTTTTTTAGGGGTCTTTTATGGTGGGTGATACGGTCTAAAATTATCAAATTATCAATTGAATTTGGCTTCAATGATAATCCACATTTTAAAATAGGCCCAATGAGTCGGTCTAGCGAAAGCAGTTTCTAGCAATAGAGCAAAAAATATTTAATTTGTGAAAGTTTTGCTGCAAAAAACTGCAACATTACAATGGAAGCGACTCCATGGATCCTTTTTCTGCATAAAAGCTATTTCACGGCTCTTGTAATGTAGTTTTCGGATCCGAAAATTATTAATTGAACAGTTTCAATTTTTCAATAAAAATTTCAATTTTTTCTTTTCAGTTTTGAGCAATTTTTAGTGTTTTTGTTGGAGCGTAAGTCATGTATTAATCCAATTTTTTGTTTTGGGATTTTTTTCCCATAAACTGAAAAGAGCTCAATGAAACTCTGGGCTATATGGGTTTGAATTTTGCATTCATGTAGCGTACAATAAAAAACGATGAATTGTTTTATTTTGACCGAAGGCTTTCCAGAAAGTTAGTACTTCGTTACAAGTGGTACTCATTACGCTTGCGATTAGCAAGCATTATCAAATCGGAATATAGACTTTTTTCGGGTTAACAATTAGTTTAACTAAATGATTTTACTTTTGGGTCATTTGAAATCAAAAGTCAGACGTTAATTCATTGCACTTGGTCTGGAGATAATGGGAGTTGCCTTTGAAACCTAATGTCAGTTGTTAGAGTCCCGGCCCGATCCTGTTTTTTTTCAGTGTCTGAAATTGAAAATTTTGGTTTGTCGGCTTATTTTCTATCGGCTCTGTCGTCACCTCACATTTTTTTGCGCTGTATTCAGTATTCATTGTAGTCTTAAGTGTCGTCGATTAACTATTGTACTTTTTAATAATCACTATACGTGATTGGCATATTTGCCGTTTTCTTGTTGTTTTTTTGCTCTTATTTTGTCGGTTAAGTGAACTTATTTTGCATCGATATAAGGATAAAAAATGATTATTCATATTTTTGATAAATCAGTTCGGCTGGTAGTATAAAAGTTAAAAGTTCAAACTTTTAATCGCTCTAATTTTTTTAATGACAACAATTTCCCTTGACATTTGTTTTCGGTGTAATTGGCGTCTAACCAGGTTTTGTTGGCTTAGTGAACGCTCAAGAACTACTTGAAGCTTGCTTTATGCTTATGCTTGTGTTTCTCATCTGTTTTTCTAAGATTGAATTTTTCGTATTTCCGAAAAAAAAAATGATTTTTTTTCCAGCCATTTTTGTGGGTATTTTTGGTTTTGAGATCAATTGGCGTCGAACCACGTGTTGTTGGTTTATTGGATGCTTGGAAAGTACTAAAATCTTGCTTATGCTAGTTTTTGTGTTTCTCGTTTGTTTTTCTGAGATGTAATTTTTCGTATTTCCAAAAAAAATGTTGGTTTTTTTGACGATTTCCTTCGGCTTTTTTGGTTTCAGATCGATTGGCGTCTAACACGTGTTGATGGTTTAGTAGTCACTCGGAAAATACTAAAATTTTGCTCAATTGTGGTGTTTGTGTTTCTAGTCTGTTTTTCTGAGATTGAGTTTATCGTATTTTCAAAAAAGTTGTTGGCTTTTTATGACAACCATTTTCTTCGGTATTCTTTTTACGATCAATTGGAGTGTTCCGCTTCGCCTTTTTGTAAATGGTGGAACTGGGATTGTTAAATGAACTTCGATTAAATGGCTTGTCTCTTTTAATTGTAATCATGCATAATTTCACCATATTGAAACACACTTCTTGCATTAGAGGTGTTGAATTAATCATTAAAAACATAAATTTTTGAATAGTTTTTGAATCTGCAATTCAATGTTGAGTTTTTTTTCAATCGTACTAGCCTAATATATACAGCAATCAGTGGCTTTCATTTTTTCGAAAATATTTCAATTCGACCGTTTTTTTGCCTGAAATGCATGTGTTGGTTGTTCATTTTGTGAGCGAAAATTTTAAAGAAGGCAAAACAGTCAGCATTTGTATCTGGCAACGAGAGTTGCGAGCGGGTCTGTGCAAAAAATTTATGTATGTTTTTGGCTCGTTTCCCGTATGAGTTGGCGTATAATATTTGCTGAACCGGTTGAAAATTTGAAAAAGAATCTTTGAGAAGTGTCCACTTTCTCATTTTTTTCCATCAAATCACTTTTCAATTCTGGTAAGCTTTGCTACAAGGCAGCTTTCTTTTTTGAAATGATCATGCTTATTATGCTCAAATACGGAGAAAAAGGTTCTCACTTTTTTCAATGGAAAAAGGTTTAAAGAATATGTTTTTGTATAGTGAAAGAAATACGCCGTTTAATGGAAAAACGATGGAGAAATAGTTTGATTAATCACAACGAAGCTCAAATTTTGCAAGATAATATTTTCGTTTGCCTTCAAATTTTCATCTGAATCTTGCGGTTATTGTAGTTAAAACATAAATACTCTGAATTTAAGATGCAGCCATAAACGATGCAATTAACGGAGCGGACTCGGAAACGGAAACTGGACTGCAAGACCTCCGTCAGAGTGTGTTCGGAGCTACTACACATAGCAGTTCACACGGAGGAGGAGGGGGAGCGAAGTCTCCGACCAGTCAACAGGTGCCAGAACATGTGCCAGACCTGCCGGTGTTGTTGCTGACTAAGCAGCCGCTCTTTCCACGATTTTCTAGAGTTGTTGAGGTTAGAATCGTTCAGTTTGTTGTCGATTTTTGACAATGGTTTGCTTTATATAGGTTGAGCTGCTAGATGAGGTGGACGTTTTAGGAACTTAAATCAGTTGTTATTATATCTTAAGTTAACATTTCATCTTGAATTCAAGAGATGACAATTGCAGTATACGATAGTATAATCAATAAAACCACCGTTTTTTAATTTTTTTTTACTATCGCAATGGTTTCAAAAAGGCACATTTGTATTTTTTGATTGCTTGTAACAATAACAAGATTAAGGTTAGTTGTTTTTAGGTCAATGACCCGAACTTAGTGGCGCTGATCAGAAGAAAACTGTCCCTTGGATTCCCATATGCTGCAGTCTTCTTGAAAACATCAGACGAGTGAGTGTCAACTAAGTTGAAGTTTTAACAAATAAGTGCTGGTTGTTGTGCATGTAGCCCAAAATACAATGCTTTAACAAAAGAAATTCAAAAACATTGATAAAAATGTTTTGCAATTTACTATTTTGGTTATTTAACTAGTAACAAGTGATAGAATTCTGTTTAATATTCTACATGGAATATTCTACATAAAATAATGTTAAAGTTGCTATTTTTTTATATCTTTTTTGGAGTCCGAGTTACAGCTAATAGGGCTTTACTGTTTACACTTGCGAAGCAAAGTGAATTAGTGCGAACTTTCTTTTTTCCAGCCTCAGTCGCAAATATTGATGTCACTTTTGCGGCACCTTTACAGCTTTTTGATATAATGTGCTTTGAATTTGATTAGTAAAAAGTTAACACAGCTGATGCATTTTCAATTCATCAAACGAACCCAAAAAGTTATTTAATTCAAACAGCAGTACAATGATAAAAAGCTCGGTTTGCGAAATTTTCCAATTCAAAGTATCTTGCAATTTTTTTGAAATGCATAATGTTAACATAATTGGCCTTATTCTTTCCAATTTATTACATGCAAAATTGTGTCTTTTTGTATTTGGTGCTATTTTTGCTGCATCGAGTTGGCAATTTATTAGCACGTGTAACTGCGTTATTGGTGGCTATTTTTTGGGCATTTGCAGCATCCGTGGCTGAGTTGTTATTGCGTGAGACTCAAATTTGCTAGATCGCAGATTCGAATCCGACACGTAGCCGAGTTTTTGCTATTTCGTGGCTTATTTCTACTTAATCTTATTTCACTTGATAGAGCTGCTTTTTGGTCATGTTCTCGCAAGTTTTTGCGAAGCGCCGCTTCGAATCTGTGTATACCACACTTACACTGATGCAATCTTTCCGTGAGGAACCTAAAATATTGCGGAAAAAACTCGGGCTGCCGTATGTATTAGTTTCTTCCCACTTCGTTTAGTGGTCGGAGTAAAAATATTGAACCTGTTATAGCGCTGATAAAAAAATCTGGAACAATTGAAATAAGAATTTGCATCTCGTTTTTCTTAAATCGGAATAATGGAGTCTAAAAGATAGTGACTGGGTAAAAAAAAATTTTACAAAAAGAAAATGAAGACAAAATTGTTGCTTTGTAAAAAGGTATGCTCGCTCAGCTCAGTTTATAGGATCGAAAATGAGACAAAACTGCCGGACTGTTTTCAGGCTAATTAGAACAAATTACTATATTAGAACAAATTAATAAGTTTTCGGTATCAAATCTGAACATATTTGTTTATATGCATACGTTGCTTTGGAACGAGAATGAGATGTTTTTACTCCATAATAGTCAATGTTCAACTTTGAGGTTCTAAAGCAAATTTAAAATGATCTGCGGCAGATCGCATCAAAGCGCCGTATTAAGATTCGATGGACATAAAAAGACTAACATTATAAATCTTGATGATTTTTTTTCAGGAAAAAGTTTTTATATTTGTAAACGCTCAAATTTGGTCTTTTGCGGCTTGATTTCTTCAAAGCCGCCCCGGTGTGCGGCTTGATTTCTTCAAAGCCGCCCCGGTGTAAAAGGAAGGCAAACTCCACAATCGAATTGAAAAAATGAAAAACGTTTTCGAATTCAAATTTCAAGGCAGGTTTTAATTTTCAGATTTCCCAGCGGAATTAAAAGTTTATCTATTGATCCAGTATTCTCAAATTCGATTTATTTTATTACAAAGTTTCAATGTTTTCAGCGCTCCCAAAAAGGGGAGGGTTGTACTGATGCCATTTGAAAAGGCGGCACCGCTGGACCCTTACAAAAGTGTCAATCATAGATTGTTATTGAAATTTATCGAGCTTTAAGGCCATTATTTTTTTTTAAATTCGCAGAGGCGTTTTCTCAACAAACAAATCAAGTGTTTTTCTGTTTCCTTTTGTTCATTGACTCTTTTCCGACCGTCAATTGGCTATGTTCGTGTAATTAATTCCAAAATACCTAGTAGTTTCTGTGTAATGTATATGAAAAGTTCAGCAGTTTGTTCCAATATGCCCATATCATAGAATTTTTTTTGATGGCAACATATGGTTTAATTGATTTAGAAAAGCTCAGAAAAGCTATTTGGTCTTCGAACTAAAGAAATGCCGATTAAGTATTCAAAATTGAAAATTTTTTCTGGTTTGTGAAACTCCTTGATCCTCCGCTGGCTCAATATATTAGTGTTGTTGTTTGTTGTTGTTGTTGTTGTTGGTGTTGTTGTTGTTGTTGTTGTTGTTGTTGTTGTTAGTAGCTGCCCAAATATATCGTTTCGTCAGCAGTTCCGACCCGTGTCTTACGTTTTTTTTTACAGTACTACACAAGTGCTCTATTTGAGAATCGTCTCGTCTGTAAAACAGTGACTGTGGCAATCCCAGGGTTCGCTAAGAGCGGTAAAAACACCCTTTTTGCAGTGCTTGGTAGTGTACCGTTCTAGGGGAGCTGTTTTTGACTTCCGTGCCCTTTAGGTATTACTTGTTTCTGTCTGTGTTTGACCAGGTCACAGTCGGAATTGTGTGTGAGTTATGAAGACATTTACAAAGTGGGCACATTTGTGACTATCAATGCAATCCACGACTTCGGAGACAGACTACACTTGGTGGTCGTCGGACACAGAAGGTAACAGAACAGGCTGCTACTCAATTTAAATATAATTCAACTAATTAATGATTTCTTTTCAAAAAGTTCTGCGATCAAAATTTGGCGTTAGAATCAACTGAAATTTTATCATCAATTGATGTTTCTTTATGAGATTAAATTTTGTAGATAACATCAATTTTCACTTTTAAATGCGGGCGAATCTAGAATTTTCTCGACTGGGTGATTTTCAACAAATTATCGAACGTTTTGTCGTTCTTTTTTTAGGTTAACCAAATTGATTTTCCGAGCGCTCTCAGAACACTTTCAAGACCCTATTTAGGTAAAACTTTGTGCGCCGCAGGCAAACTTTTGAAAAAAAACTGGTCAGAAATACCGTTTTGGGAACTGAATTTTTTTTTAATGAAAAATATCGTTTTTTTTTTCGACGTGCGCTCACCTTCAAGTAATACTAAAATATTACTAAAAAGGGGCTAAAGTTGGAAATTTTTTCATTTTTTCCATATAAATTTGCCTTTTTAAACTTTTTTAAAAGTAGGCAAAATTGATCTCTTCTGTTTGCCGAATTTTCAGTAATACCTGGCGTAAAAGATACCATCATGGATGTGATCGTTTTGTAGAATATACCTGGATGAACTAGTGTCATCGATCAAAGAGGGAGACAAGAACGATCAACTCGACCATGATGGAATTATCGAGACTGAATATGAAATTGATTCTTCAGGATCATCATCATCATCATCTACAGAAGATCAGATTTTCTTGACGTGCAATACGGAAAATATTTCACACTTGCCATTTGAAACGACCCAGGAAGTCAAGGTAACTATGGAGTACAACATTTTTTGTCGAGTTTAGCTTCAGCTAAATAACATGAAGGAACTTTATTTAATATCTCTAATCTCTATGTATGCTATTATTACAACCGGGTACAAGACTTTTTACCGTAGTGATTTCGGACATGAAATTAACTTGTGTTTTCTACTTGCTTCATTATAAATTCAAAATCAATCAGTTATTTAAAAGATCTGGCTTAGAGGTGACACACCTGCTTGAGACGAGAAAAGCTTGTGGTTCGAATTCGGTCGTGACCTGTTTTTTCCAGACCTGAAATTTTCTGCTTTTTCGGACTATCGTCGATTTTTTTGTCGGCTGAGCTCCCGTAGGACGGAGTGTTTTTGAAAATTCAGATTTCTTCTAATTTTCTGAATGACGTTTTGAAAGCTTCATTGGTAGAGGTAATTGAGTTGCAACTTTTTTAGGCAGGTTAGATTTATTTTTGAAAAAATTTAAACTTTTTGATAAAGAATTTTTAAACAAAAAAAAAACAAATTTTTCTATTACAAAAGGTTTTTCTGTCGGGTTTTCTTGCACGGAATTTTTGAGCAAGCGAGTTTTATGCTCTCAATTAATTTGCAGGCGTTATCAGTTCGAACGTATACTTATACTTTTTCTTGTACATAAATTGTCCAACAAAATAACAGAATCATTTTCTGAAATCTACACTTTCGTCAACCAAAAAAAGTATATTGAGAATGTCTGCATTTCAACCACCTGTTCTATTTACACTTGCGATCAGCTTAGTGTATTATTACGAACCTTTTTTTCTAAGCTAACTCATAAGTAAAAGTGTTCATGAAAACTGTTCACTTATTTGGAAATTTCACTGTAGCATTGGAAATTGCATAGCATCTGTTCTCTGCTTTATTTGTGGCTCGTGTTTGGTGCCTATTAAGCTTCTGTGTCTGAGTGGGTAGTATGTGAGGCTCTGAATCTCTAGGTTTAGGTTGGAATCTCAGAAGTAGCCGAACTTTTACTAATTCGAGGCTTATTTCTAATTTTTATTATTGATCTTTGTAGAGCTGATTTTTGTGTTCTTTTGATTTTTTGCCAAACAAAGCTTCGCCTCTGTGTCTATATGTGTGTTTAGGAGTCGGTTGCTTCAGTTTAAGTTAAGTTCTTTTCCTTTGTTAAAAGGAAGTCAAAGTTCACTATCTAACCTCAAAAGAGTAAAGGTCACGAAAAACGTGATGGACGTCTGGTTTCGAAAATGGAATTTAATAGATATCTCAGCGAAATAAAAAGTTAACCTACAGTCCATTTGTTTCAAAATGGGTTAGTTTTAGGAAAAAAAGTTATCAGAATCATAAATTGTTCCAGAATTTCGAAGAGCTTTAAGGCCATCTTTTTTTAGAGTTAGGAAGTTGAGATTGTTTTTTTTTAAAAAAAAGCCAGTAATTTTTTCGGTATGCTTGCGTTCATTGACTTTTTTCCAACTGTCTGCTCTGTTTATGTTGGGTTCAAAATATTCGACTAAGGTTTGGTATAAATTCTTTTTTTTTGTTTACTCGGCTTAAAAGTTCAGCATCTTGTACTTACTCAGCTTTGTGGCATCATTTTGCGTCTTTAGATGAGCGAAACAATTTTGTTATGCCTATGATTCTGTTAAGGGTGTAACTTCATATCAAACGTTTTTTCATATCAAAAGTTAAGACTAGCGAAGCAATTTTAATATGCGTATGATTCTGTTGAGGGTACAATTTCATGAAAACCTTTTTTTGGTTCAACGGGTGTCTGCTGAAAAATGGTTGGCTTTGCTACCGCTTCGTAAGTTTTATTTCGATGCAAATCTTATTTTTAGTTGTCTTGTTTGGCAGTGTGTGGTTTGTCCTTATGAGCAATTAGTTCCCCATTTTGGTCGCGAATAAAAACTTATTTTTCGTCTTGTAGTTTCAGAAGCAGCTCTTCAGTAACTATTTTCTTTGTCCATTCCCAGGCACTGACTCAGGAACTGGTGAAAACCATCCGGGAGACAGTGAATATCAACCCCCTCTACCGGGAGACCCTGTCCCGCATCATGATGATGGCAGGCCCCTCCTCCTCCCAAGGTGGTGTGTTTGACAACCCAGTAGCCATTGCGGATCTAGCTGCTGCCCTGACCACCGCTTCCAGTGAAGAGCTGCAAAGAGTTCTAGAGGAAAGAGATGTGAGTAATTTTCAATTGAGCGAAAAAAGAAAAATTTTTGATTTTACATTACTCCGAAGGCGCAATTGTTACGTCAGAATTTTTGGGGTTCGATCTTTTATTGTTGCGCGCTTCGATCCTTCCTGGCCTAATTTATTTTTCTCAGTTTTGAATTTGTTTGATTTTTAGAGTTACGTTTTGCCGTTTTTGTTGCTTATGATTGCGAAGTGCAGCTTAGTATCTGTATTTTAAGTAACTAGTCAAGAAGATGAGTGTAATCATCTATACAATTATTTTCTGATTGTGATTATAAAGATAAGAACTCTGTCGTTAGATCTCTGTACAATTATTTTGACATGCTTTAATCAGGTGCTCAAACGTCTCTACCTCTCTATGGAACTGGTCAAAAAAGAACTGGAGCTAAGTCACCTCCAGCAGAAAATAGGCAAGGAGGTCGAGGACAAAGTGAAAGGTCTCAACCGCAAGTACATGCTACAAGAACAGCTCAAAATCATCAAACGGGAGCTGGGACTGGAAAAAGACGATAAAGATTCGGTGGTTGAGAAGTTTAGAGAGAGGATTGCTAATTCGGAGTTGGTAATTCCTCAGGATGTGCTGACTGTGATAGACGAGGAGTTGGCCAAGTTGGGCTATCTTGATCAGCAGTCATCGGAGTTCAAGTGAGTGCGCGAAGAAGTTTAGTCAGTATCTATTCACCCATGAAGTTAAAGCCTAAGAGGTTGAACAAAATAAACCACGGTGCTCTGATTATAGGTCCCGAGGCCTGCGCATGTTATAAATGATTTTCACCTGCATCAGCTTCGTTGTCAATTACCGATGCTTTTTTCCTAGGTATGCGAAGTGCTATTTCGCATTTGCGTGTAAAATAAATAAAACTGCGATTTATTCCCTTCCTTCTGTTGGTTGTGTTTGATTTTTCTGTTGGTTTTTAGTGTGACGAGAAGCTACCTGGACTGGCTGACTAGTTTGCCATGGGGCAAGTGGACTAAGGACCAGCTGGACATAGCTAAAGCGAGACACATTCTCAATGAGGACCACTACGGAATGGATGACGTCAAGAAACGCATACTGGTAAATACAACAAGCAATGCAAGATTGGGACATTTCGGACCAATTTTACACCCACTCTCCCAAAATTAGATAAGTAAAAATCAGCTACTTCTATATTACCCTACGAGTTTGAGAGATTAGTGTATTTGTACGAACCTTCTGTTTTCTAACCCAACTCGGAAATAAAACTGTCGATTAAAAGTGTTCACCACTAAAATTTTTACAGGGACAGATAATAATCTGAACTCTTTTATCAATGAAATTATTAAGTTTACCGGAACAATTATTTTTCCTCATTTGATTCTAATTTTGATTATGTGCCGCTAAGCATGATTATCGCTACCTTCGAATACTGCTAAAATTTCTCTGTAATACACGATATCGATTTTACTAGACTGATACAAGTGGGCGTTTGAATTTTTCACGGAAGTTCCAAACTTTTAGCTCATGAAGCCATATCAGATTGAATAGAAGAGATAATTAAATTTTGCAATATATCAGTTATTGGTATTGTCCTGTTTTGTAGGAGTTCATAGCTGTGAGCAGCCTGAAACAGTCGACTCAAGGCAAGATCCTCTGCTTTGTGGGACCCCCGGGAGTTGGCAAGACATCCATTGCTAAGTCTATCGCACGATCTCTCGACCGTAAAGTAAGTGTCTATTCTATTGTCCTATTTTTGTCACGAATTTCGAGTAAATTAACGGAATATATAATGCTTGGGTTTTTCTGCAGACCAATTTCGGCTTTTTTTCCCTATCGAGAGTAAGTGACTATTAATCGGGCACTTTTTCCCCCGTAATCACTTTTTCTTAAAATTTCTTCCTACATGCTGAGTTCTGCTGACATGCTCAATTTCCTGATAATTCTAATAAAATTTTTCCTTGTTCATTAAGCGTTATGAATGAAGTGAATATTATTATATAGGTCTTCGTGATTTTTTTTTTCAGGATTTACTTTGCTATTCGATGTTTGACTTTTGATTTTTTAAAGTTCAGATCATTTCCTTTGTTTACACAAGCATAGCTTGTGTTATAGTATGAACTTTCTTTTTTTTCCAAACTAAGTCGCAAATATTGTTGCGATGCAATTGTTGCGACAAAATGTGTTCATTTTGAAAGTGTTCATTTTGATCCAGCTATTAAGTACAGCCAATACTAAGGATTTTAACACAGTTTATTATATTACAAATAGCACTTTAGCTTCAAGGTATCATCGTTCTGTAGCGTAGAGGTAGGGAAGGAGACCAGCATCAAAATAAGAGGGTTCGAACCTCAGCAGTGTCGGATGTTTGTAAACTAGTTTGTGAACTGTTTTTTCGTATACTAGTTAAAATGTGTCCGCTCTTCAAATTGATGCATGTTGGTTGGTAAATTTCTTTTCAAATTGACTGGTACTGCTAATGTGTCATAATTGGCTTGCGTCACTTAGGAGTCATGTAGACTCATAATTGGCGTGCATCACCTAAGAAATTTTGTAGACGCAAAATTTTACTCATTCAGTTTTTCCCAGTAGCATTGTCGGTAATATTTTTGCTTGTGAATGCAAAGTGCAACTTCGCCTCTGGGTAAAAGGAAGGCAATCTTCACTATTGACAAGCAAAAGTGTAAAGGTCATGTAAAACGTGATCGACTTCTAGTTCTCAGCGGAATAAAATTTTTACCTATGGATCCAGTTTTATAAAATTGGCTTGATTTTATCTGAAAAAAAAAGTGTTAGTCATAATATGTTCTTGAAATTAAAAGAGCCTAATGGCCACATATGTTTTCTTTGGAAATCAAAAATTGATGTTTTTTTTCAGAAATCAAGTCAGTTTTTTTTGTTCTTTTGCTAGCTGTTTTTTTTCTGTTCATGGCTTTTCCAACTGTCTGTTGACTATGTTTACACTAGAGATCAGCTTTGTGTATTTTTACGAACCTTCTTTTTCCAACTTACCTCGCAAATAAAAGTGTTCATTGAAAGGGTTCACTTATTTGGAAATTTCAATATAGCATTTGTTTTCAAGTTTATTTGTGGCTAGTGTTTGGTTTAGTGTGTAAGACTCATAATCTCTAGGTCGCAGGTTCGAATCTCAGACGTAGCCGTATTTTTGCTAATTCGAGGCTTATTTCTACTTTTTCTTTTTGCACTTTATTGAGCTGCTTTTTGTCGTGATCTCGCTAGTGTTTGCGAAACAAAGTTTCGCCTCTGTGTTTGAGTTAATGCTAATTTGTTTAATTATCTGTATCGATTTTTTGTTTTCCTCCTAAGCGCTGTCGGCTGATTTTGTGTTTTTTTTTTGCAATACAATTTATTGTATCTGTTGTGCTTTTCAAGCAGTTTTTTCCCAAAGCTTGCGTTTTTTATTTATTGGAACAGTTCTTTCTTGATGAAATAAGGTACTCTGAAAATGTATCAATTTTTTTATATAGACTTTGGAAAGTAGTTCCTTTTTTTCTCAAAAAATTTTAGTTTTTCCCAAAAATAGCTTATCGATTTTCAAAAAAGGATTCCAATGGAAGAACTGCCCTTTTTTCTGTCTGCCTGCATAATCTCCTAGTCTCTTCATACCTTTCCTCATTGTCTATAGTTTTCGATAATATGTGTGTGAGATTTTGGGTTCAATCGAGAGCACGTTTTGTGAGATACTCCCCTGCATAAGCGGCTTTACACAATTTTTTTTACTTGAAAAGTTTTGTCCCTCAGCAAAGTCAATTTTTTTGACGTTCAGACCGTTTAACCTCAACAATTGCCCTACAAAATCGGAGATTTTAGGATCAATGGATAAAACTGTATGTTAGACGCAACCCTACTCAACCGGATCAAGAATATGCATAGAGGTTGATAACACTATCAGTCAGCGGGTTTTCGGTCTATTAATATGTATAATGGTCGATAACACTTTCTGGCAGCGGGTTTTCGGTCCAACAATAGGTCGTATGTTCGATACTGGCCAGAATCTTTTTTTTTCAAACGGAAAACATTCCGTCAATAAATTTGTCGGCCTTCTGTTTGTCTGCCTATGTTGTGTCGGCTTAGTTGCTACATCTGGGATTTTTCTTGATTAAGCGTTTAAGTGCAAGAATATTTGATTTTTTTTCTGTAATTGTTGAAATACGTAATCAGATTCTTATCGGCTTAGTGAACTTGTTTCGAGTCGTTTGAAGGGACGGTTAGATTTTAATCTTTTATGTTGCTGGAGCATAAAATTTCGAAATTTCACAAGTTTTTCATAACTAACATTTTGTTTTCGGCTCAGTGGTAGTTAACCCAGATTCTGTCGCTTTAGTTGCCGCTCTTTTAATGTTTTTGAATACTTCTTTCGGCGGCAAATGTGTTTCTTGAATGATTTTCCTTAAATTGATTTTCTTTAGCGACAAAATGATGAACGTTTTGTAAATGTGGTTTGAAATTCAGAATTTAAAGTATTTCCTCTAAAAGTTCGAAATATTATTTTGATTAAATTTTATGGATTTTTTGTTTGATTTTGTTTTGGATTTTGTACTTTTTGGGTCAAAAGTGTAGATTAGTCGTTCTACTGTCTTATATTCGCTCATTACGCAACTTTTTCGGGTTTATATTTTGGCATAAAAACGCGAAATTCGACGAAATCTTTTGTTCTATAAATTATGATTTTATGAGTTGAAGACACGCTTTGTACTTTTACTCGTCTATATTCCATTTACCTAGACTCGGTATCCTCAATACTCTCGTAGCGGTGCAGGAACGAGTAGTCACTACAATACACTGATGTAGTTGTAGTATTTATTTGTAGTATTTCAGATTCAGCGTGGGCGGCATGTCTGACGTGGCCGAGATCAAAGGCCACAGGAGGACATACGTAGGGGCCATGCCGGGCAAGATCATCCAGTGTCTGAAGAAGACTGGAACTGAGAACCCACTCATACTCATAGACGAGGTAAACTCAAACCGGCGGCGAATTCTTCTTTTTTTTCTATGTTGTTTGTTTGCAGCCCTGTCGGTCATAAACCCCTTGGGAAGATATTGCCTTTGGGTTGTAACGATTCTTGAAGTGAGACTCCTACGCTTCGCCTGGTGTTTTTTTCTGAATGAAATAAAAAAGAATAAGACGGACAGCGTCAAAGCAACATAATGTGTAGCAGGCTACGTATGATATAATCTTCTCTATGCTATTGCTTAATTATGGATACGATTAGCGAGGATAACTTAAGATCTCACCTTTGATGATTTTTCTAATTTAAGGAGGTAATGCACATCAGTGTATCTAGTAGCCATTGTTGAATATTTCGAGAAATTATTCCGAATCTAATAGGAAATAGTGACCAAAACAAATTGAACTGTTGTTATCTAAATGCAATCATGGTGTTTCAATATAACTGTTGGCATTTTGTAGGTGGACAAGATAGGCAGAGGGGGCTTCCAGGGAGATCCCACATCTGCCATGTTGGAACTCCTCGACCCAGAGCAGAATGCAAACTTCCTCGACCACTATCTCGATGTGCCAGTTGATCTCTCAAAGGTAGCTACGTCATTAATAGTGGACTTTCATCAAAGTTTTAAACAACAAAGAGAATTTTTGGTTCGCTTTTTGGGAATATTCCTTTTTTTTCTATAAAATAAGTGAATACTGTGGTTTAACGTAACATAAATTATACGATATTGAATATTACTGTAAGGCTGCTTTGTGGAAGTTATGAATATCTTTTGATTATTTTGTGTTCTGTTTAGGTGCTGTTTATATGCACTGCTAATGTGTCGGATACTATCCCGGACCCCCTGAGAGACCGGATGGAGATGATCCAGGTGTCCGGATATGTGGCCGAGGAGAAACTCAACATCGCCAAAGTGAGTATACGGCGTCTTTTTTTGCTGCTATTGATACACTTCTATTAGTTCACTTCTGTCATATGGTCATAGATCCGTATTCTGTTTTATTTGTCTATCGCTCAAATCTCATCAATACGCTTACTGATATTTAAGAGTCGATTAACGTAGTGCAGTGTAAGGTCGTATGATTTTTTTTTCGTTTCTTTTTCTGGAAAAGTTTTAGAATTCGTTCTTGGTGAAATTTACTTTTTCGTGGTTTGACTTCTGATATCTTTCTTAAGTTCAGTTCATTTCTGTTTTTAAAAGGAACGCAAATCCTTTTTCGAACGGCAAAAGTGTAAAGGTCACGAAAACGTAATCGACTGCTAGTGTCGAAAGTAGAATTTAATTTTCAGATTTCCCAGCGAAACAAAATTTTACCTATTGTTCCAGTTTTCTCAAATTGGGTCAGTTTTGTCAAAAAATCATAAATTGTTCTAGAATTTTAAAGAGCTTCTAGGGCATCTATTTTTTTTCTTTGAAATTTCAAAGCTGAGGTTTTTTTGAAAAAAAGGTGTTTTTTATATTTAGTTGCGTTTATTGACTCTTTTCCAACTGTCTGTTGCTATGTTTCATCCTTATCATTCGAGTTTCTCTGAAGAACCGTTTTCTCTGGAGAAGAAGTTACCGATGCTATTCGAATGAACGAGTGTCCGATGTGTTATGATGGTGTGTGATGTGTTTTTAGAACTACCTGTTGCCGCAAGCGAGGCAGTTGTCTGGTCTGGGCGAGAGTATGTTGCGAGTAAGCGATGAGGCAGTCCTCTCCCTCATCAAGAGATACTGCAGAGAGAGCGGGGTGCGCAATCTACAACAACACATTGAAAAGGTTACACAATTGTCTTTTTTGACCTGGTTGTCCCCCTGGCCTGGCTCCAGGGATGGACTTCCATGGACAGGTAACCCGGGAAGACAATTGTAGTTGCAATAATTTCATGATCTCAAGGAAAAACAATCATTGGTCAATAAAACGTTTTCGACATTATGTCATCATCAGTACACAGAAAAAATAAAAATGTTATAATTTCTCGTTTCAAGTACTGAGAAGATAAATAAGTTTTGATTATCCCCCAAGCTCGCGCTTGATGGGAAAGAAGAATAGGACAATCACGAAAGAACGCACGTGACGACGAATCACGAGGACCGACCCACGAGCTGTCCAATTTTTAAGCGAAGCTCAAGGCTTCATGTGAAGTAATTTCAAACAGTAATAAGTGTCGGGTAATGTCGCGGCTAAGTTTAGATTGATGTTTAGGAAATTAACTATTCCAAGGCGATTTTTGCAGCTTTTATCCTGTCAATAGCTGAACTGCTCATTTTTTTAAGTCAATTTCCCCGTGGATAAATCGTCTTTGCTATCCAGGCCATGTTGTTTCGCTTCAGATTCTGCGTAAAGTGGCTTTGAGAGTGGTTGAGGATAGAGATTGTGAGCAGCCTGTGGATGTGAGTGAGAGTAATCTGAATGAGTTTGTTGGGAAGCCCCTTTTCAACAGAGACAGACTCTACGATGACTCATTGCCCCCGGGAGTAGTCATGGGACTCGCATGGACATCTATGGGTCAGTTAAATCTGGCATTTTGTTTGTCATTATTCTTAAAATATATTTTTACCTTTTTCTTTATCATGTTCTTAGTGTCTATGGCAGCTATAAGTGAATTAATGAGCAAGGAGAATCTTTTGAATTTTATAGTTTTTTTTGTTTTCTAGGAAAAAGTCGTACAATTTGTTCCCGCTAGTTTTCCGGTTCTGCCGATTTCATTTTTCATTTTCTTGAAGCTCGCTTTACTAACTCCGTGACTAAAAGGAATGTAAATAAAAGTTATAGGAAAGTAAATACTCAGAAGGCTCTATGCCTGGGGAAAAGTATGAGCATCAATGCTGGAAGAAGTCAACAACTAGAACACCAAAAGTTCAATTAAATATCGGCGATTTTCTGTCCTTCTTTGACATAGTAACAAATAGCCTCCCATATATAAAATAGCAATCCAATGGTAAGAATGTACGAACATGAAACCTACTGATAATTTCAGCCTTTTAAAATTGAGCCGTTAATTTTTTTCCTTGAATTGTTAACATTACAATGTGGCAAGGGCGACAAAGTACTAATTAGGTCGCTACAAGACTTCGGTTCATATTAAACTCATTGGTTATTAGGTGGATCAACCCTCTACATCGAGACCACAATTAGACCTCAGCCACCACCGCCACCCCCCTCGTCCAACAATGGCAACAACAGCAATAACAGTCCCCCACCCAGTGATGAGCATTTAGCAACAGAAATTTTAGCTGTGTAAATCGCTTCAGTTTTTATTATACGATTATTCAAGTATTCAAGTTTTTAATCTGATGAGTTTTTTTGGGAGATATTAGTGCTATGAAAGATCACGCAACTTACGGTTTATACCCTCAAATCCAGCTTGAATTTTAATGAGTTTTGCCTCTTGATAATCCGTTCAAGAGCGTTTTTGGTAGTTTGCTTTTGATCAAAAGAGTTTTTCATGCCGGATTTTTGATAATATCTGTAATCTTGATCACATTACTCAGTCAAAAAAACTGTGTTTTTAGGGTTATTAGATTTTGTGGGCAAAGTTGTTAAAATTACAATAGTGAAAATTTGATATCCGCTGTCAAAACGAGCAGCTCTACCTAGTCCAGAGTCATGGCTGAAAAATGGCTCTTTTTCACCATTCAATTTTTCTATTTTCACGGTTGGTTTACTTGTTAATGTGGCTAAATGCGCGATGTTACGATGCTAAGTATGAATACAAAACGTGATCACAGTAGTTCGTTTGCTTGCAAAGCTTAATAGTTTTTTGAAATAGACATTAAATTATGAGAGGCCATAAGTAGAAAACAGCCAGAAAAGTATATCGCCAACCATTGGGCATTAACAATATTTCCATCTAAGATGAATGCTCACCACTGCTATAATCTGTAGTCCAGCAGGGAAGTTTAGAAGTGACTGGGAACTTGGGCGACGTGATGAAAGAGAGCTCAAAGATAGCATACACTTTCGCCAAGAACTTCCTCTGCAATTTGCCACAGACAACTTCTAGTGACGTCACTCCAGTAACAGATGAGATGAAACAGTTTCTACTATCGAGTCACGTGCATCTTCATGTACCGGAGGTATTTTCATTTCTGTTGCGCTTGCGATTGATTAGCGTTAGTTAATCGGGACAGACTTTCTTTCCGGTTAACAGCATGTCCAACAGAATTATTTCGCTGAATTATTTGATGGCTTGATTTATGTTAAATTCAAGTTCAGCGTCTGATTCTGCACGTTTGGTCTGTAATTAATGTCTATGCCAGGAACTCCGAAGGACAGGGTTCGAATCCGCCACGAACCTTTTATGGCAAACTTTTATGAACGCTCTTCGTAGGATTACCGGAGTCACTTATAAAGACAGAGTTACCAACGAAGTAGTAATTTAAATGACAGGTCCTGTTGATCTGGTTAAGCTACAAGTGCGGTCGTGGCTACGATAGTATGGCCATTTCACCGAAGAGAAAATGACCATGCGCTAAAATCAACAGACCATATTTCAGTCCCAAGAAGGCCTAAAAAGACTGGATCAATTGTGTTAAACGAAACCTGAATACTTAAGGCCTCAAATCCACAGACTGCCTTGAAAACATGTTATCCTCCATTTAACAGCTTGAATGCTATGCGGAATGCTCTCATCTGAATAATTGCTTACGCGCTTTTCGGATGTCTAACCCCGCCACAATGGGAACATGGACAAAAAAACGCATTAGTAGTTGTAGTAGTAGTTAAAATGCTGCAATTTGTTTTTCGACTCAAAATTGGATTATTTTTTTGGCTTTTTTAGTTAATCAAAAATAAAGCTTAAACAACCAGGTAACCTGCTGACAAAATTCTATCAAAGTGAGCCTCTTATATACCCCAACAAGTTTTTAGAAAGGTAGTCTCCAAAAATTTGCCTAAAATACCTAAATTTTGTTTCTAAATAAAAAATTGGTACTTTACTGTTTTCAAAAAATTTCTTCAGCTTTTTTGTTGAGAAAACCATTTTAAGAAAAATGCATTTCTTTTTTTTTGTTCTGTCTGGATTATTTAAATTACTGTACACGTTTCATAGTTAAATCGTTTGAAACAATCTATTAATCGTTTTGATTTTTTTAAGTGTGATTGTTCCGTCTTTAACTGATCATTCCTTGTTTTATTTTTGAATGTGCTTTTTTGAATCATTAGTGTGTGAGAAAATATATTGATTGTGCCATTGAATTGTTTTCGAATATACTCTTTAGATACTTCCAAGTTTTTGAAAAAAGCAAACTATCGAATTCATTTTTTACGATTGAACACAACTGGTCTTTGCTGGGCGACATTAAACGCGCACTATAATGAATAGATTTATTTGGTTTTCTTAAATAATAAAAAAGGAAAGTTATGAAAAATTTCTCATTAACGAGCTTTATAGAGGATTCATCGTTCAATTTATTTTTTATTCTGAGCTTAAAAAGGCAAGTTTTTCTTGGACATGATTCTAAAACAACGGAGAGTAGATAGATCTATGAAATTCAGTGGTAATTTTTAGGTAATATTTGTCTAAAGAGTAGTTTTTTCAGTTAAAAATTTTTTAGTTTATGGTTCAGCTAAAAGAAAGCAGACTTCATTATCGAACAGCAAAAGTAAAAAGGTCACAAAAAGTTTGATCGAATTCTAGTTTCGTAAGTGTGATTGAATTTTCAGATTTCCCAGCGTAATTAAAGTTTGGCCTATTGATCCAATTTTCTCAAATTGGGCTGATTTCATCAAAAAGTCAAATGATAAATTGTTCGTGAAATTCGGATAGTTTTCAGGAATTATATATGTTCAAGAAATTCAAAGAGCTTTGAGGCAATCAATTTTTCTGGGAAAATCGAAAGTTCCAATTTTTTCTGTTTCCTTGCCTTCATGGCTCTTTTTCAACCGTCTGTTGGCTATGTTTTGTGTAGTTCAATTTAATGTTGCATTTTCATTCTTGACCAGTATTTAATTTTTGCGTGTTCAAGTATTCAAGTGACGCCAAGCTCCATTAGCCTCTGTAATTATACTACTGTTAACAAAAATATACATAAAAACATGGAATAAACAAAAATAGTGATTTCAAGAAGACAAAATCGTTCAACGACCTATTGAAACATTTAAAATCAACCGAACAACCCTTTTTTACTTAAAAATTTAAACAATTGCGAATGAAGTTGTAAAAAGAAATAAAGTGGGCAAAAAGAAAATACTTTTATAAGAAATTGTCTGCATGTATAGGATTTGAAAAAAGCTTTTGATACAATAGAACATCCCTTTTTTTGCAGAATACGGTATTAGAGGCAATATCTTTGATTGGTTTAGTTCGTACGTAAGGGGGGATTGCATCATGTAGAAGTTAATGGAATATCTTCTTACTGGCCACAAAAACATGTGGTGTTCCTCGAGGATCCTATTTAGGACTTTTACTGTTTTTATTTACATAAATGACCTCATGTCTGTTAATCATCAGAAATTGTTCTTTTTGCGAATGACACCAATGTCACTTCATTGGGACAAGCAGACATTCTGATTTTTTGAGGGCATCAGTACACTGAAATATTCGACTAATGCCAATAAATTGATAATTGATATGGATAAAAGAGTACAAGTGAATGTTTAGTCTACCAGTTCGTTGACCTTCAATATAAAAACTGTGACATAAAAACAGAACCTGTTTGTCGGTATTTGTGGATGTATGTTGATTTAAAACTATCATTTGCGTCACACATAGATCATGTAGAACCGCGATTAGCAAAACAGTCAGGCATTATTTTAAAGCTACGATTTTATGCACCTCAGCATCAGTTATTAGCTTACTGTCGCAGTAACATCAAATCATCTATCCAGTATGGCATCCTGGTATACGGTTTTTATAGTTTTTCCTGTAGTTGTTGCCAGTTTTTATGCTTCAAAAATAGATACTGAAATTGATAAGTTCAAGAAATCGTGGTGACCACTCTGAAGACATTTTCGTAAAAAAATCAAGTGCTAACAAAACATGAGCTTTATATCTACGAGTTGCTAAAATTCGTGTTACTATCGATAAATATTATCCATAGTGAAGGTTTCTGGAATAATCTATTGATTTTCGTAAATCCCTTACGAGAAACTCGTAGGGGTAAATTGAAACGTTTTGAAAGAACATTTAAAAGAACGTTAGGAAGTAAATTTAAAAAACGTTAGGAAAAACGTTTTGAAAGGCAATCAGTAATATGCCGCGGATCTAGAGTTTTCAATCTGCTTAAGACAAGTGTCTTCCTCGAAGAAGGATTATAAAGTGCAAACATAACTAAAATAACTTGTTTTTATCATAAATTTACAAAAGGATACCTATTAAGTAGCAACGAGCTGGCAACCCTAGTTTTTAATTTTTAATATCAAGGAATTGCACTACCTAGGGTAAATGTCACAAGGTTGTTAACCACGAGTTATTTGGAAAAATATGACGGTCCAGAGCCTCTGAGTTTCGGAGTTATTGGGGTTTTTTGGGATTTTTTTTTCCAACAACACTTGAAAAATTTCAAAAAAGTTAGATTCCTGTTTACAGCCAGTGGTATCTAGCGTTAAAACATGCAGTATTGTGTTCTGAGCTTTTTATACGCAACATATGTTTTACCAGAAAAATCTTAATGTAGTTTTGAAATTTAGGTAACTTTTTTTTTCTAAGATTTTTTTTTTCTTTGTTTCATTATGTTTTCTGCCATTCAAGGGTAGCTGTTAGTAGAACCCCAGGGTTTCGTTAGTTGTCCCTTGAGATGAGTACCTTAGTGATGAACTTATTTTATATTCTGTCGAATGTATTTACCTATCGGAAAAATAAATTTTTTCTTTCTATAATATTTGAAATAAATCAATAAGGTCCAATGATGACATCGTACCTCTGAGCATCAACGAGCCCTTAGTTTTTGCAGCGAAATTATTAATGCATTTTTTTGCGTAGCAGCAGTTCTTGAAATTATCTGAGAAAACATTTTTTTCCAGGAGTTTGAAACCTTGAGTTTAAAAGGAAACTCGAAGAAGAAGGTTCTACTTATCAATCATATACGTCTTATCTTAGCTTAACCCCCCGCCCCCTCCCGTATACTGTATGTGTTTACTAAACTTTAATCGACGCGCTTCAAGGTGGTTCCTAATAATTAAAGTATGTTAGTCAACATCGGAACTTGGTCTCCGTTAATTACTTTCACAGATCCAATAGCAATATCGGATATTTCGGCGCAATAATTGAAAAGTGTGGCGCGGCCTTTGCTCTGCTGTTATACTTCTTGTCTAAATTAGAATGTACAGCTGTCGAAATTTAAATTTATTGAACACTTGGTATACTTTTTATTCTGACTGGTTCACTTTTTATGCTCGAATAAACTTCGATTTTTGCATTATCGAAATAAAAACCGCCCGTGGACGTGTAAATGCGACTTTTGACTGACTGTGACCTTGACCTCTGTAGGGTGCGACTCCGAAGGATGGTCCCAGTGCAGGTTGTACCATAGTGACTGCCCTGCTGAGTCTGGCCACTGGGAGGAGTATCCCGGATGACCTGTCCATGACTGGGGAAGTGTCACTCACAGGGAAGGTGTTACCAGTTGGAGGCATCAAAGAAAAAGTGATTGCGGTGAGTAAACCAAATTTTAAAACGCTGGTATTAAAATTACATTGAGAAAGCCAATAAATTAGTGCTCACGAAAATGATTTATGGCTCCAATCTATGCTCATATCAGATCAGATTGAACGGAACTTATTGAGAGAGAGAGAGAGAGAGAGTAAATGTAATGAATCGATTTTCTAAAAAAAAGTGGTACCAAGAAAAAACGGGCTGCTTTTCTATGTGCCTTCGAAAGTTTCAGTAGGGTTTTTTTGGCCTATTTGTTTTGAATTTTTTCATTTTCTCAAATATTAAATGCTCAAATCTGAGATGAAGGTTTCAATCGGAACAACAAATTATGAGGATCTTCCCTTCTTAAGCTGTTGTTCCCTAATTTCGGTAGAAAAAAGTCATAGCCTCAAACAAGCCCATTTTTTCTAAACGCAAGCGGCTATGCCTGCGTTTTGAAATATAGTATGGCCTTAGAAAATATCCAATTTTTGAAATTTGGCCCGTTTTTTTGGAAAGTTGTTTTTTTTTCACAAATGACAATTCTGAGGTTGACGGTTCATTAGAACTAACATGGTGCTTAAATTTTCCCTGCGTAATCTCTTTTACCCTGTTTTTTGTAGAAAAGCTGATTTTAAAATTTTAAACTTTTTTTTAAAAGAAATTTCATCACTATTCTCGAAAACTACAAGCTAAATCTGGTATTAAGGAATCATTCTAAAAATGAGTGTGTGTAAATCTTCAATCTAACAATCAGGGTGTGGAAAGTTTAGGTTTTTCATATGCTTTACTAGAGAAAAGTGTATGGATTTAGGAAAAAGTCAAATTTCTAAATTTTTGATCAGTTTTGAATCTTTTTCATTTTTTTTGCAAAACTACCAGATCAAATCTGAAAGAAAAAGTTTAATTAAAAGATCGAGTAGTAGTTTTCTCGTTTGGAAAGGCGGTTAGTCCCTGACTTAAGTAGAGAAACACTAGGGTTTAGCGTAAAGTCAATTTTTTTGGAAATTTTCAAAATTACGCATTTTCGTATCAGTACAGTAATTATTAGAACAGGTAGATCCAGCTTTAGCTGCGCCACTAGTTTATTTCCAAGCTACCGTGGCGCAGATGCGAGGACGTGAGACTCCTAAGCAACAGGTCGGATGTTCAAATACGGAACATTTAAATAGTTTAAATTTTTTTTCTGCATAACCTTGGCAGTTTGATAGAAACTGTAGCTGCTTTATTGGTGGCTAGTGTTATTTAGATCGCAAGCGGTCGTGGATCAGATATAAGAACTGGATTCTCCTACTCTCAACAAAAGTTTTTTCAGGGTGTTTTTTCAATTTTTTCCTTTGTTTTGCCTGTTTAGAGCTCTTTTTTGCATTTTCCTCGCTTGTGTTTGCAATGCGCAGCTTCGCTTCCGTGTTAAAAAAAAGGTCCATCATAAAAGATTTTTAAAATCTGAAAGTGATTTTCGAAGTTTTCTTTAACTGGGTTAGTTTTATTAAAAAAGGGTCCATCATAAAATATTCTTGAAATCGAAACGTGAAATTCGAAAGCTTCAACTTGATATTCGAAATTTGAACATGCAATTGTATGATTGACATGGAAGCGTCAGTAACATTGAGTTGGAATGGCACATAATTTGTCACTGTTTTTGTTCGGGTGCTATCTTTTTATTTTAATTTTTGCTACTTTTTTTTAAACTTTTTTTTTCAGGCCAAGAGAGCAGGTGTGAATACTGTGATTTTGCCAAAGGACAACGAGAAAGACTTCGCCGAGTTGCAGTCCTACATCTCGGAAGGCCTGACAGTCCATTTTGTGAGCCACTACTCCGAACTGTATCCCATTGTATTCTCAAAACAAAGCTGATCACTTTTGATAAATGATTGAACGATTTGTTAACCACTGATTTTATCAGATTTGAAATATAAACGGTAATTTAAAATCTGAAAAAATTGTTTTCAAAACAAATTACTGTTGCTGATTTTAAAATTTGGTAAATCAATCCGGTTACTAGCATGCTGCCAAGTTAATTCTGTTTTTTTTTCAACTGTTGGGGTAGTTGCGAAAGTTCTTTTTGTTAGATATTTTTCGACGAGTTTCTTGATATTGTTTATAACGTGGCTTAACTACTAATTTTTGTTTAAATGGACGAAGTGCCTTTGAAATTATTCAGGTCATGTGGATTTTAAGTTTTTCAAGGATAAAATTGAAAATTGGGTTTATGGCAGTTAGATCTGATTTGTGTTAATTTCTAAATTTTCAATTTCTGTTACATTTTAAATCACTCAATGAATGAAGGCAAATTAAACTGAAGAATAGCAAATGTGGAAATGGTGTGAAAAAGCACCTTGGTTTTAGTTTTTAAAATGGGTTTTGTTTTTCTAGATTTCAAGTGATCTATAGATTTTATTAACTTCAAATGATCCATTGGATGAGTTTTATAAAAAGAGGTTTCTGCTAAAACATAAGTCTGGAATCCAGAGACAGAATAGAGTTAAGAGACAAGCGTGGATACAAAAAAAAACGTTTTGTTGAATTGAAACTGGTACCATTATACCTCTCTGGTTTCTAGATTTTACTATGAATTCCATGGTTAAGCAGCCTTATTTTTTCATTCTTGAAGACAAAGAAATTTCTGAAGAAAAACTGACTACAAACTCGCATCCAGCATACAAGTGTGGATGGGGTCAGTGCTTTATGCTCAGATTTTTGCGATCTAATTTTGGCATGTCCAGATTTTGCGTTTTCGGCACACGACGCAAGTATTTTCAATGTTTCGCAGCAACCATCGCAAATTTAACACGACGTACTTCAAATTAACCACCGCACGCATGTAATCCAAGCCTTGATGGAAATTCCTAACGTGCAAGTGCTGAACCAATAACCGAACAAACGCGTGACGTGCATCAAGTATAATCGGATGCTTGCTATCGAAATCGGAATTAACCAAGCGGCTGATGCGCCCAGTCGAGCGAAGGATGCCAGCTGGTCCAATGAACGGCGAATACTTGGCGATCCGACTATTCCTTGTGATAACTTTACCGGATCTTAGTAGTTTTAGCTCACTAGGGAATGTCTCACCCTGGGACAGGTAAATGAGCTTCTGTTCAGCAATATCCATTTCAGATGGGTCTGTAATTTCTAATATACTCGACCGGAAATGTTTATGGGATGGCAGCCATCTTAACAAAAATGCTACTGCGCGTTTGTATTTTACGATTGAATTGAATCTCTCCCATTTTCCGAAGGGAAGATTTTTTTCTGTCAAAACATCGACGACGAATTTTCCAGACAAATGTCGATATCACATGATGGTCCTTTGAGTCTTATTTTATCAATAACCCTTGTATCGGGCTTGATCGTCCACTAGACAAAGCAATCACTCAGCGTACCGTGTTGAGTTTTGTTTCCTCTGTTTTTGATCCAATTGGGTTAGTGGCTCCGTATACCGTGAAGGCTCGCCTTCTATTAAAAGATATCTGGCGAATCAGCGGTCAAAAATGGGACGATGATCTGCCAGAGGAAATCAAAAAGCAATTCCTTGAGTGGTACTCAGGTCTTCATTTGTTAGGTTCTCTGACAATACCTCGCAGCTATTTCACTGAACCTTTCGACCGAATAGAACTTCGCATGTTCGGTGATAGTTCGCAGGATGTTTTCTGTGCCGTCTGCGATCTAATTTTGGCATGTCCAGATTTATGCGGCCAGAAGCTGGCATGTACGGAATTTCGTGACCCAACTTGGCATTGTCCGATTTTTGTTACTAACTTCAATCCCACGCGACTTCTGGACCAGCGACAAAGTGAACAGATATTTTTTGCTACCATTTTTTGATATATCTAAACTTTCGCTATCAGATTTTACTTTTTCCAGACTTTTGCGACTGAAAAAAGCCGTCGTGAAATTCTAGAACCTTGCAAACCGGTATGACCTTGGAAATGGTCACGTGTATTTCTTGACAATTTCAGCCAATGCGGGTATTTTTTCCGGCATTCTGATAAATAATTTGTAAAGTTGCTCAAAAAAATAATTTTCTTGCGGTACGACTCGAAATTTGTCAGACTTTGGTAGACCTGAAACTAGACTAGAGGTTAAGTAGAGATCGTCATCACATATTATAATTGCCATAGCAGGGGATCGAGATAACGATCTGACTATCTCTAAGTCAACGCCTGACCCTACACTAAGTGCTTTCCAATTGTTTTTTTTTATTGCAGGCTGAAGCTTATTTTTAGCTAAACAAAATAGTTTCAATAGCTTATCATATGGCTTAGAATATATAATTTTTAAAACGTTAGTCCAGACTTCCTCATTTCAGAAAACACGAAACGTTGCCAATGTATTAATTTTATTTAAAATTTTTATTACGTAAGAAAATTTTTTAACTTGAAATTGGTTCATAGACTTTTGTCTGGCAATGTGCGTAGATCATATTTTCTAAGTTTTGCGAAGTTGCGATTGCCTATCCAGACTTCGGGGACTATACATTCAATTGCGCTTCTTAATATCATGAAATTTGCAATTTCATGACCAAGCTTTTTCCAGTAAATTTTGCTGTGCCAAGAATTTTATTATCCAGCTCGCGATGTTATGGTTTCATGTCTGGACTTTTGCACCTTTAAATGCAATCAATCGGGTCTTGTATTACTACTCGTGCTTTGTAACCTCAAGGCATGAATCGCGAGGAATTATATTTCTGGTTGAAATCTCACTGCTTTTTGCTTGATGACTTTCTGAGGTTTGGTTGTTCGGTAAGAGGCATAGACATTTAGAACCAAATTTTTCCATTACTTTTTCATATGTTTTTTTTTCCGAGCAGCACCTTTAAATGCAATTAGCTATTGCGAATAAATGGCCAATTAGCCAGATATAGATAATGTAGTTAGTTCTAGCCAAATAGGTCGAACGTTTTTTATCAAACTGATTTTTGCGGTTGGTACTATACGTGAAAATACTCTTATGCTGTGCTGCTGATTCAGTTTTAGTTTCAGTCTAATTTTGGTCTATTTGTTTTGTAATAAAATGCATCACGCTGTAGATATATGTTTTAAATTACTCCGCTTAAAAAAATGGTGTACAATGACAACACGTGATATAAAAACTCGACGTTCGGTATGTTTTAGTACCAATAGAGCACATTTTGTGTTACAAACGATAAAAATTGCAGCACTTAAAACACAAAACGCATTTTTGTTTTTTCACATCGAGGCTGTTGATAATTAAATTGTTATAAGTGAAAAATTTGATTGTTATCAAATGTAATCCATTATCAAAGGACATTCAAGTTGATGTTTCTCGCCGCACGAAAACCGAGAAAACGAACCTCGGAATTCTTGCTAACAGTTTACTCTGAATAAATTATTTAAATTCTGATTTTTATAAATTGTTTTTGAGTTGGTTTATAGTTGATTTACTACTTGATTTTATACTGCAGTTTTACTGCCATATTATGTTTCAAACTATGTCTGCTAAATCGATTACATTTTTTTTGGCACTGACCTTGCTTATCAGTTTGTTCACGTCCCTTAGTTGGTAAGTACAAATAAAAGACTATCTGAACAATTTAGAAATGATTTTTGTTCGGTATTAGATAAAAATTATTCCCATAACCCTTCACCTTTCGTTCGTTAGCAGCATTATGAAGGGTTTTGAACAGAAGCGGATCTAGGATTTTCTCGAGGGGGGGGGGGCGGATTTTCAAAAGAATTAAAAAATTTGTCAACTTTTTTTTTTAGCTCGATCAAATTGATTTTCTGAGCTCTCCCAAATCAGTATAAAGACCCTATTTTGACGCTAATTTAAGCGCCGTAGGAAAATTTTTGAGAAAACTGGTCAAAAATGCGTTTTTTATGAACAATTTGGAAAATGACCAAAAAATCGCGTTTTTTCGGCGCGCGCTCCCATCTCAAAATTAGTATAAGTTGGCGCCAAAGGCGCTTTTAGGAAAATTTTAGTGGCCGTTACCGAAAATGGATATTTCAAAATAGTACAAAAGGGGACCCTTTGGGTCGGCAGGGGGTCGAATTTCTAAAAAGGGGCGTCCCTGCTTTTCAGTAAATCCGCCCCTGCGTTTCAGTATCTAACCAACTGATTGCAATTCTCGGCGCAGAAAATTTGGCCGAAACAGCGTCTTTTTAGTGCTTTAGGAGAGCTCGGATAATCAATTTGGTCGACCTAAACCCCGCCTAGGTCGACCAAATTTTTTAGCCGCTTGGGAATGCTATTGTGTTTTATGTGATCATTCTCTGTTTCTCGATGAGGAAAAATATACAAAGCCATTTGAACAAAATGAAAATATTTAAACTAACTTTCTGCTCAGTTTCGAAAAATAATAAAAGCAAGTTTTTATACAATGATGGTCGAAAATTGTTTTGTAATCCAGTAATTGACTCCTTTTGCTGCAATTAACCAAAATAATTCGATGATTACTTTATTTCCCTGAATTTTTTTCAAAAAAAAAAACATTTTAAATTATTTTTTTTAAAATTTTAAGTTGCTTTTTTGTCCGTCCCTTACCAAAAAGTGTTAATAATTTGGTTTCAATTTGTTTTTTTATCATGAATTTAAAATAGCATTTTCAGGAACAACAATAGGATTTCATCTAAGTTTTTTAAAGGTTTATTTAATAGACTTCTACTTCTATTATAATAAATAATGTTCTTTGTAGCAAAGGTACTTGTGTCGATTTTCACCTGATTTTCAAGTCCGCTTTTTCACATTTAATCAAACTGTTTATTTGCTGGTTCATTTCCCGGCGACGAAAAGATACGAAATTCTGTATTCGATAGTTTCCAGTTTTTTAATTCAATTTTTTGTTCGGTTCTTTTAACTCAAGTATCAATCATAAGAATAAGTAGAGTGAGGTTTATCATATAAAGGCTTTTTTCTTGCTCTTGGTTGGAAAAAGTTTTCTGGTCCTATTGACAAAAGTTTAATTTCAGAAATGTAGTATGAAGAATCATTCGTTTCGCACTGGTTGTAACTTAATGAAAATGATAAAAAATAATATATTACCTTAAGCAAAAACAAAATAAGAAACATATTCAAGGTTTAATTTTAGTTCCTCTCCCACACGCACCAAAAATGGCAAAAATTTTGTCAAAAAATGAGAGAAAAAATTTTTGGTTCATTATCTTGTGGAAAATTCTAGCAACACTAAGCAAAATAACCTTGAAAGAACGCAGTTTGAACGTTTGTGGGGTGTCTAATAGCTCGGCATCCTTGTTTTCGAGAAAACACAAATTGAAGATTTATCAAATTTGTAAAATTTGTGTGTGGTACGGTCTGTCACTTTTTGGTAGCGCGTTCGAATCGCGCTATGTGCAACTTTAAGGTCTCAGAAAAACAAGCAAAACTATTACACAAGTTGTTTAATCCTTTTTGTGTAATAATTTTACTTGTTTTGATAATTTTGCTTGAAACCTATTTGTTTGTTTTGAGTGTTTTTAGTTAACATAGAGAAGTAAACATACTAAATTTTGAAATCTCGGCTTATGAATTGTTAACAAGAAATACACCGAAATTGACAAAGAAAAATGTACTGGTAAATTTTAATTATGATTAGGAAATTGTTGAGTAAAAAAGCTCTCAATTTTTATGTACTGCTGGTTTCTTTTCAATAAATTATATAGTTGGAATCATCTTTTTTTTCAAGAAAACCACCAGTTTTATCTGACTCAATTTTATCAAATTCAAATCACTAAGCCTTAATGCTTAGACAGGTATACTGCTCGATGAACTTGAAATGCTGCTTAGAGATTTCTACAGCCACTGATAAATCTTGAGTGATCCCTCTAGATACCATGATGCCATCAAAATAGCCTGTAAAAGTCTAACCTATCTAATTTTTGAAAAATTGACAGAATGTTTCAGCTTAGTGTGGTTTATTTCTCGAGATAAAAAAAAAGACTGCTTGTATCAGGGCAAATCCTTGAGTGTTTCGGCTGTCCTTTAATTGGTCTTTAGTTTTTGCAGTTTTGTCGAATAGTTTTTGGTAAATTAAATATTGGCAAAACTATTGACAATATTAATTTTAAGTTGTAAATTTTGAGTCGAGAAGGGAATAATAAAACCAATTAGCTGCCTCAATTAATTTTGGAAAGATTTTGCGGTGTGGGATGAATCGCCGCGTGTAAATTATAGACCAAGAAAAATAGTCAGACTCAAGGCAGGTTATTATATTGATGTGCACAGCGGGCTGGGCCCATGCAGATCTAGAGATAGATCCTCCGAGGGACCAAAATTTTGTAAAACTGGTCTGAATAAAACAACACCAGAGCATATAAGTTTCTGACTTTCTCGAGGCCACTAAATACCGAATATGTTGGGTGAGAGCAAACAAAAATTTTCCAAAAAAGCCAAAAACGCAAACTTTGGTCTCTTTTTTTTTAAATTTCAGGGCGCAGAAATTTTGGTAAAAGTAAAATTTTAATGTGATTTGGGAAAGCTTGGAAAACCAATTTGCTTGACTATAAAAGGTAGACAATTTTTTTTTTCGAAAATCCGGCCTTAACAACTCAAGAAAGCCCTAAGGCTGCACATAGTTAATAATTGCTTAAAAACAAACTCATCACCCTATTATGAGCCTGCTCGCTCGCGTTATTTGCTCAAAATTAGATTGTTTTTCTGAGAAAACTGTTTTTCTGGGAAGATTTTCTGGAACTTTCTGGAATCAAAATAAGATCCTATCACGACTGAAAGGGCTTCAATTTGATATATCACTCGACCCATTTGATGATTATTTGTGGTACCTGATTTTGCATTTTGCAATCTTTAAAACAAAAGAAAATATAGTAAATCACTACCAAAGATAAAGTCTATCCCCAATTTCAGTGTTCGGAGCAAAAATATGCGTTTGAATTTAGGACACGATTTTGAGAAACGAAACGAGTAAAATTGAAGTTAAATTTTTGTAAACTTGTGAATACGTTTTTATGTTGACGAGTCGGTCAAAAAATGGCCAGTTTTGGTCGATTTGCAAGTTCATCATGCTCTCTTGATCATTGCGATTCTAAATTAAACCCGCTCTAAATATTTTCAGCTAGTGTATAAAATGAATTGGTGTGTCTAAATGGGAGCAACTGTTTAGTTTGACAGTGTACACCCAGCCCGCAATCATAGCCACAGAATTCGAGAAGTTCGAATGGATGGCCAGCTTCATCTCTATACAGGAACAGGTAAGTGTAATTAGTTTTACTTTGGGAGTGGTGGTGAAGTGGTCACGTTTCTGCCTCTCAATCGAAAGGTCAGGTGTCCGAGGCCCACCATGATACGTGCTCGCTGCTTGAGGGTTATGCAACATTACTCAGTCCAGAAAAGTAACAAAAAAATTAAATGTAAGGCTTAAACAGGGGCAGAACAGCCTTTCCCTTGTGGATAAATTGTCTTGACTTAATAAGGCTAGTGAGGCTATCACGGGAAAGAGTAATTAGTCTGCTTTTGACAGATTTTTGAACAACTACAAAAAATCTCCAAATGTTTTGTTAGATGTAAATTCAATTAGTCCCTCGCAATTGACATGGTCAAATACTGATTGTATTTTGACGATGCAAATTCCGTTTTATTTGAAAATAGCAAAAAAAATGTCTTGGTAAATTTATTTGGTCAAAATTTTACAAAAAGTGCCTAAAAACGCCTATTTTGGCCTATTTTTAAAAATTTTTGCCTGAGGGTCAATTTAGTCAGCCTAAAAAAATAAGGTCGACAAAATTTTCAAAAAGTTTTTGAAAACCCGCCCCCTCGTGAAAATCCTAGAAGATCCGCCCCTGCTTTATGGTATTAATTTGGATTTAAAAAACTACAAATTTTGTCATTCTTGAAAAACCTTCTTTTGTAGAATAAATTTTAGCCGAATTTTCTTAGTCAATCAGAAATTTGAAATTTGGCAGCCTCATGATTTTTTTTGCAATATCAGTACTGAGAAAAGTAAAGAAAAATATTCTCGTTTTGATAATTCGGTTGGAATAGTCCTGACTACTGGCTCAGCAATTGGTCCTTATTGTAATGATAGGTGACAGCCATCAACCTTTATGGGGAGTTCAATGACAGCAGAGGTCAAGTGAAGATTCTGAGTTATATCCTGGGAGATAGAACTGGGAAGCAGTACTACAACGGATACTCCTCCAGAAATGTCGTCATTCAAGTGGACGAAGACAAACTAGGCATAATTCAAGCTGAAAAAGCGCCTCCTTCAACTAATATTCAAAATTTTGCTTATATTCAATATTTTTTTGCTAAAGAAAAATACGATTTCCAGGCAAATCGCTTGTTGATTTTTAAAATAGTTTTTTTTTAAATAAAATAATTTTTTCAGCAATCTTATTGTGGAATGTTTCTATCAGTCTTTGTATCTTTGAAATCATCTGCAACCAAAACTCCGTGCAAGGCGTGGTGATGATAACGTCCAATGCAGTAAACTGGCGCTAACGAGCTTAATATTTCAAACGATAAACATTTTTTGTTTTCCAGTATCCCAAACATCCAAAAGCCACTCAATAAATGTGGAATTAATTATATCAGCTTGAATTGTTTGCTGAAATTAGAAGTGTACAAGGAAAAGTCAACCTCAGCCTCGCCCAATACAGTAGGCGTCATCTACCTCTTTGTAAACCCCAAACTAAAAGACAGTGGAAAATACACCATGGAAGTGACTGGCACGAAGATCGACTCCGGGAAAGAGCAATCAGGTTCAGCCAGTGTCACAATCACAGTAAAACGTGAGTTCAATCGGATAAAACACCAAAACACCGCATGAACATTGTCTCACTAAGAAAAGGATCTCTTTATCTCTTTAACTTTATTTACCTCTTTTGCAAGGGGGGGGGGGGGGGGAGGATTCGTCACTAGGTATAAAATTCTGATATGCTTTACCGTTGATTTATTTCTTTATAAGGGGATGTTCATTACTAGGTAAACGAGGGGGGGGGGGTGGGTTATAGTTAAAAAATCTATGTCCTTGTGTCTTGCTGATTTGTTGTCGTCACAGTTCCGTTTACCTGGCTTTTTATGGAGGATTGATAGTATGGCCCCGTTTAAAATTGAGTTGTGGTCAGATATGATATCCCCAATCATCCCAAAATTTCTCCCAAAAAAACCTCAAAATTACCATGTTTGACAGTTTTTCCTTTAAAATTTTTTATTGCAAAGACAAATTTGCGACCATTTTAGAGTCTTTGCTGCTTAAGCTTTCGAGAAGATTGCTAAAAGTATTTGTTGTTTCTTTCAACAATTAACTTTGTTTCTACAACTAACTTGTTTGTTTCAGAGCCGGATAGTGCAGACATGACAGTGATTGAAGTGGCCGGTCGAATTGGATTTCCCCTTGAATTACCCTGCAGCCTCATTGCAGAACAGTCGCGCATGAAATCATTCACTGCTGTTTACTGGCGAAAAGCAAGTGTTTTTGTTTACTGAAGTATAAAAATGACTCAATTGCTTCATCATTTTTATTACTACAAGACCCCATCTGTCAATAATTTTTGCAAGTCCCAGACATGTGGCGCGTGCAAGATTCTGAAAAAAACGTCCATGAAAATGTGTTGTATTTGGATCAGCCACTTTATATTTTCACGCCGTGAATTCCTTTAATTCGTGAACACTTTTAGGTATAAAATTTAGCTCTGCGCATGATTTTAGGTTTTGCGCTAGGGGTGTATTGATGCCGAGCTTGGTCACGACCTTCCATCTGAAATGAGAATTAATTCAATGGCACCTTTACAAAATAATACAGGGTCCACAGAGTGTTCAAGTATCACAGAGTGCTCCGACCACATTCATAAAAAATCAAATATAATTTTTTCTTTTTTTTTCTTCAAATTAATGCCGTTTTTTGTACATGGTATGATGACAGAGCTATACGAACGCGTAGAAATTTAGTGAAATAGGAATAATCGTCAAGAGTTGTCTTCGAAAAATAAAAAACAAACAAAAATTTAGAAAAAGGTTGAGTGAAAAAGGAGGGATTGTAAATTAGTTCCAAATTGAGACCATTTATGTGGCCAGCGCGAATTCCTCTAAATCCGTCACCTATGATTACAATTACATTACCTATTTGTAACTCGACCGAAAATAGCTACAATAAACCTTGCTTAATATCATCCACAAACTTTCAAAAGCAATTTCTGAAGATGTAGTGTTTCCAGGGTCCATTTCTCTCCTCGTCTAAGCTGATCACACAGTGGTTGCAGTATCGAGAGAGTCCCGACTTCGCAACATCCGCCGACGACAACAAGGACGACCAGAAGCGAATCAGTTTCCGCCAACGCACTTCCGAATCCGTGTTCGAGACATCGCTGGACGCGACCTTGAGGGTCTCTAGTCTGATTCGGGCGGACTTCGACAACTGGTGGTGCGAAGTCGAGTTTAACCAAGAGGACGCGGTGGTCGTCTATAAAGTGGACGTTGTCCCAGACACTGTTCCAAAATACAACCGTTAGTTTTTATAAGCAAGGGTTTATAACATACTGAAAATGAAGGTCAACGATAATGAGCAGGTTTCCAAATATTACTTAAATTGCTTTCGAAATGAAACTTTGGAAATGAGATGGACTCACTATCGCAATTTATTTAACACGGAAAGTAGAACGGAAATTAGTTTTTGGTTTTTTTTATTACTTACAAATTCAAGCAACAAAGAAATGATATTGGAAATTATGGTTCCCTCCCGCTCTCTCTCTCTCTCTCTCTCTCTCTCTCAAAAAACGACGAACATTTTAAAAATAAATTCGAAAAATGTTTCAGAAATTTTTTTTTGTAAGTGTAATTGCGAGGATTTTTTTTCTATGCATGCACATCATACGACTATTCTTTTTTTTTTAAAATTGATCAACCTATCTCCTCAAAAAACCAGAAATAGTTTTCAAACCCCCCTTCCAAGCCTCCCATGCAAATACTGAATGAACTAGAACCCCCAGAGGAACTTGCAAATCTGTTTGTTTCCGTATATAGACACTAAAGAGGGGAAAACTGACAACAAACCCGAAGCGAGTCTGTTCGATCACATGTATGTCGTGTTGGATCCCCCCTACATCTACTACCTGGTGGGAACTGTAGTCACCGCTATTGTTATCATCATCATCACTTGCTTGTTCATATACTGTGTTCTAGTGCCTGTCCACGACAAGAAACGCCAGGCCAGTAGAATTGATCATTTTAATTTTCAAACAGTGTTTAAAAAACAGCAGTTTGCCTCTGTGATAACGGAAAAATTAAAACGGCTTTACTGTGCTGTACTTGGAGTGCAAAAATTTTGACAATAACGAAAAAAACTTACTAAAAATGTTAGTTAATTTCGCGATAAACCATAAAGCGTTGGCGTTGCGAAAATTGTTAATTCTTATTAAACGGAATGAAGTTACTTATTTACGGCGTATTACTTATTTGTTTTTTTTCTTTCAGAAAAAGTGTTAAAATTTGTTCACACTAAAATTTGATTTTCACGAATCAATTTGACTACTGATTTTTTAGTTCTGGTTTAATTTAAAACTACTATTCACGTGGTCATAACAAAAAATACAACCAAAATTCCCGTATCAATGATTACATCTGAAAGTTCAGAATATCATTATTAGCGTTTGAAGCAACCATTTTGGCACAATTTTTCCAAAGGGTTGGTTTTTTTTTCAACAATCTCTATGGGCAATGTCAAAATCAAACTGAAAATTTTGATCCCTAAGTCCCCATTTCGACCACTCAAAACTCAGTTTCCCTCTGTTCAGTTATATAATAATTACACGGGTCGACAAAAAATGCTACTCATACAATTTTCATGCAAGGAAAATGCTAGTCATACACTTTTCATGCAATTCCATAAGTACAGAAAATTGCATGAAAAGTCTATGATTATTTATTTTTCATATACGGAAGTTTATGACTAGCATTTTTCCATTAACCAAAATTATTGTTTTTTTAACATTTTAATTTCTCAAAATTTTTTCGTTGTGTTTTTAACCGAACACAAGCGCACAAGCGACAAAAAATCTTGGTTTCTCAAACGTAGAGGAACCAAGGCTTGATAGTCTTGCATTAAAATTGCGTTAGTAACGGCCTGAAATGTCCTAAACCTGTCTTTCATAAATACTATAACGAAATTATCAAACTTTTAAATTTTGGCAAAAGTTTTCAACGATGGTTATTTTTGAAAAATGATTTTTTTAAACTTATCAATTATTGGTCAAGCATAACATAAAAAAGAATTATGAGTTTTCAATGTTTTTGAGAAAAATTTATTAGACGAAAAGGAAAAAATCCAATATTAGGGTTTCTAGGACTACGCTATGCACACAAAAAATTAATTTTTGCGTGAGTACAAAATTCGATTTGCGATTTGCGATTTGCTACATAAGAAGCTCAACTTTATGGAATTCAATGCTCAATAATTTATTGGGTAGCTTTTTTGTAGCGTTTTTGTCGTATTTCGGTCCAATAGAGGAAAACGCAAGACCTGTAAAACTGGTACGAGACATCAAGAAGACCCATGCAATTCGCACCGAATACCCATGGATTTTGATCGAATATAATGGATTTCTAAGACAAAATTGAACCATTATAATATATTACAGATCAAAAACTCAGACCAAGAAATCTTTTCTTCATTATCGATTATTTTAGAAAAAAAGTATCAATTTATCCGATCATACTCCAAATTTTTTCATCGCTATATCTGATTGTTTTTTGTCTGGAATATCTCACAATTGATTCGTTTTGAACTTAAAATTCATTATAATCGCATTTGGTTTTGGAAATGAATTCGACTATTTCGCGAAGTTTTTTCTAAATTTTCAAGAAATTCTACCCCACGTCTTTTTTACAATTATTACATGCAACAACAGTAAACCCCCAGTTTACCAAATGCACCTCAATTTCATCCCCATTCTCCCTATCCCAACGAATTTTTTAAATCCCACCCCACTTAAGTTTTTTTAAGCCCCCACCCCCAACCTTTTTCCCGTTTTCCACCACACTCTAAAACAGAAGTTTTGCGAACTTTGGAAGAAAATCTATATCATATTTTGTACAGTTTTTACAAGGAAAAAGTACCCCCTCCCAGTTTACACTGGGCTACAAAAATAAGTAGACTTCCACATTTAAAAAAATATATTGATGAACATTTTTTTCAATAACGGCGGGAAGCCCCGATTTTTGCAACAGACATTTTTACGGTTGGACAACGACTTGTACATTTTTTTAATGAATGAATAAGGAATGAATTCTCAGAGAGAAAATACAGTTTCTTGTAAATTTTGTTGGTTCACCTTCATAGATCTAAGCTGCCGTTTCATATACGCCCAAACTTTCTCTATTGGGCTTAAATCTGGACTGTATGTAGACCAGTCTTCCTCTATGATTCCATGATTCGAAAACCACTGATGTGCAGTTGTGCTTTCGGGAGCATATCGTTTCCCACGCACTCGCCAGACATAAACCCGGCCATCACTCGGCTGTCCAAAACGGCATTCGTCGCTAAAAACGGTCTTCGACCATTGCTCTACTGAGCGTTGCTTTCGAGTTCTAGCCCAGTTTAAACGTAATGCTCGTTGTTGATACTCAGATAAATTTTTTATGCTGCTGCTCCTCCTGTAATTCCTCTTCTGTGCAATTCGCTCCTCAAAGTGTTTTCGTGAATAGTTTTTTTTGCTAAAACTATCAAACAACACTTTCATTTTTTCAAGGGATAGAGTGTTGCCGTTTTTCAACCATCTCCTGTTTTGTAGGCGATCTTTTTCGTTTGATTCCATCAGACGCCCTGATCGCTCTGCTTCCTCAAAACTACCATTTTTCAGGTAATTGTTAAACATTTTCGCGGCTGTCGAATAATGAAATAGTCCAACTTTTCTGCGACTTTCCGCCATGACCAGCCAAGCTGGCGTGAAATTACTCGTCGTCTTGTTCGTATATGTGGATTCGACACCATAATGCTAAATTGAATTTTAAAATTGCATGCAAAACACGGCTTGAGTTGAAATCGTTAAAAAACTCACATATGACGTGAAATTTTTCTGAAAGCGTTTTTTTATTTATTGTAACCCAGTGCAACAAAAAAAATGGTAAAATGCCGTTAAGTGAGTTGAAAAAGAAAAAAAATTAAATTTGTAAAATCTGTATAAAATTTAAAATTTGAATTGTCAGAAATTATGAAACGTAATATGTATCAACTGCACAAAACAGAAAACGGGTCAATTTTAAATCAACATTGTAAATTTCATCAATAATCTCTAATAAAAGCCATTACAATCTATTATAATTGAGTATAATGGATTATGCTGGTATAAAAAAATAGGATTAAAAAATTTTGTAATGGATTATATTCGATTTTTTTGTATTCCTTTTAGAAACTGGCAATAAAATGACAATATTTTCGATTATGATCCATGAGTGCTCGGTGAGGGTATATTTTTTGCATTTCAAAACCCGGCTGATCTAACTATATGATGCCACTCCTAATGGCGCATTGTTATGAAAAAAAAACATGTTTTGAAGTTAACTTGCTTAAATTTTTTAAAAATTAACATTTTACTGATTAAAATTTAGCGTTTTGAGGGGCTTTTAAAGCTGCTTTTCTCATTTTGAGGTGCTTGTGAAAGTCAAAAAGCTTCAAGGTGAAATATTTTTCTCCGAAACTTAGTCGATAAATTGAACTTAATAAAATTGGTCAATAGGTCTTTCGGTGTCATTGAGTTGGCTATGTCTTACTTACAAGCTTCTCAGCAATAAATATGATTGGAAAAGTTTGATTGACTCACTTTTTTAATTCAAATTTTCGACTTTGAAAAAAAAGAAGCAACAGATTTATGTGGAAACTGCGAATCAATCGGTCAATTAATTTGTCTGCTCTGTTCCAGAGGAGAAACAGGAGAGACACTCAGATGTACCCTGTGGCCCACAGAATGTCACACGTGTCCATAGTGGTAAGCAGTTTGGTCCATACAAAGTTTGCCTACTAAAAGGCCACTCTGTTTTTAGGACAACAGGGCTAAGTGGGCGAAAATTACCAGCCAATGAACGCTTTGAAATTGCTCGAAACAAAGTCATTCGCTTTTTTATCTTCCAGAACCGGTCAAACCTTAATTCAATTCTTTGACCAAACTTTTTCGAACAAGTGTTCACTGTACTCTGCTTCAGCATGCGATTATATATAAACCCCTGCCTTTGACATTCTGCCAATTAATCTTTGATCGCTTATATGGTTTTTCCCCATTTCAGCCTTGTGAGATTTGCCAGGAGAACGCAATCGACTGTTTCGCTATGCCATGTGGACATACATACTGCGACGAATGTCTGGATAACTTAATCAAAAGTTCCTCTGTGTGCGTATTCTGTCGAAGAGCAATCCACAAGAAACAAAGACTGTACAACAAGATTCAAACCGACTCTTACCTGTGAACAAATAAGGACAAAAAACTAGGACGCAAAAATTCTGTCGAAAACGACGTTCAAGAAAATTGATATTTATCATAAAAATAACTTGGCTCCAAAATAGAAACCGTTTTTACATATGACTCCTCATAAAATTAGCACCAAATAAATCTGTTTGAAAAAATCACCCACCAAGTTGCTATAATAATTCAGTCAATTGTTTTTTTTCTATCACTTTAATTGTAATTCATTGTAAAAATATTAGTTTTCAGTTTCTATTCTATTCTTAATTTTCTTTTAACAATTCAAATTTGCAAACATAATGTAACAAATCGAAATGTGGTGTTCCAGCCATTAAATAGCTGATAACTTAAAGAACCATCTAATTTATTAGTTTTAAGCTGACGTTAGCTGCCTTAGTCGAGGTCAGGCACTCATATTTTGAACAATATAGTTGTGCGTATTGAGTTAGGTCCTTTAGGTTAACTCATAGAGTAATTTCGCATAGGGTACACCGTCTGCTCGTCACGCTATCTTATTTTCGGCCGGATAGATTCGTGCAACTTCTTAGTCTAATACCGATCCTAATCTTACTCTTATATCTACTAGTCTCAGGGTGTTTAACTAGTCTCTGCTAGGCTCAATAGATCTAGAGTATACTGGCTTATTGCGACTGCTGAAGTTCTCTTGGAGAGGTAACTAATTTCTAAGTTAAATTCAAATCTCTCTTGTGCTGAAATTACAAGTAATTTTAGCACTTACAAATAAGTGGGTTGTTAGTTGGATGGATTATGATTGGTTAATATCAAATATTTTACAGTGGTAAAATATCTAATTTATCCAATAATGAAATGTAGTTTAGATCAGGTTCCACCCATCCGGGGCTTACAGAGTGTTTTAGAACTATCTTTCTTCTCTGCAATTGAAGGATGGATGATGAACGTTGGTATTTGGCGAACATCATTTTCTTATCCGGTTCCTCTTGAAGAAGAACGTTCCAGGACGCTGAAATCAGGGATAGGAAGTTGTTATTACGTCATTCGACAACGACTGTGATACCCAATGAAATCAATCCGATTTCAAAATGGTTTGCTATGTCAGGTTTTTCTGTATTAGTAGAGAACTGTTTTGTGTGCAGCCTCGTCTGGGAATGGCGTGAAGATCGTGTTTGGAAGGGATGCCTTGTAACTCGGATCTGTACGTATACTTGAGCATCGAGGTGGTCATTGGTCTAGTTCAATGGAGTCTTTTTCTGCGAAGTCAAGTCGTACTCTAAATCCTTTGAGTCGTAATTGTGGACGGCATGTCGGTTGTGTTTAGCCATTCTTTTGTTCGAGTGTGATGGGATCGTCTAGTCTTTGGATGTTCGTCTTTGTTGTTGTGTATGATCTATATACTGCAAAGTATGATTTACATTTTATAAATTTATGTTAATTTGGTTTTTTAATTCTGAACTTAGTTAGTCGTTTTCAAAAATGCGTTTTGTTTTAGTTCAGTTATTTTGAAGAGTTACTCACCCTTGAGTACCTCTTATTAAAAGTTGAAGTGTGGTCACAAAGCGTTTGTGTAGCGCGGTGGGTTAGGCCGGCTATGATCATGCTCAGGACGTCCTTCTCTGGTAGGTTAGGCCAGGAGTGGGAGTATGATTGCATGCTGTTTCTTTGAGAAGTCCTGTTATGTGATAACGTTTTATGTTGGTTTTTTTCTGGTCTTTCTTAGGTTACTTTGGTTGTGTCCTTTTTTCAAAAATCGAATTGTTTCTGGTTTGGGTTTGTCTTGCGACTTTTTTGTGTTTTATTATTTCTTTCTTAGACTTTATAATAAGTCTTCAAAAGAATAAATTATCCAGTTTTAAACTGGGTTAAACCGGTTTGGGTACCGTTGGTTTTCTTTTCTTAGTCATGCTGTTATTTTATGATTTGTGGTGTTTAGTAAGCTGCATTGCTTAGTTTGGCTTAGTATATAATTCCTTTCCAACCGGGTTAAAGGAAAGTTTGAAACTTGTTATCGTGTGTTAGAGTTGTTGATAGTGAAAGCTTGAAACTTAAAATCGTTATTTAAACAATTCTTCGTGGGCGAGCTGTGCGAGTTTGCATAGATTTGCTGTGCGAATGAATGAAAATATTGAAAGGGTTAGTACTGCTTTCTCATTTTATCAATTTATTGAATAGAGTTTGAATTTTACTGCGTTTTTGGGAAGTTTAAAATTATAAATTTTCATCGTATTTATTTTTACTGCTTCGTGGGAAATAATTTATAAATGAAATTACTACAATGGGTATGCATTTTACTACATTATTTGGTGCTAAAGATTAAGGAGTTTGAATATAATTTAACAGGTTTGTATTTTTATTTGTCTTTTTCTGTTTTGTAGATGATTGTGGTGTGAAGACTGAAAGAATAAATCAAACATTGATAGAAAATGGTTAGTACACATTTGAACTTATTAGTTAAAAGTATTTTAATTTATAGTTACCTTAGTCTTCTAGGAAAAAGCCGTGGGGGAAGATGTCGTGAATCATGTCTGATATTGTTAGTAACTTGGCTAGTAAGCGTATGATGTTTTTAGTTTGTAGCAGTGGCCAAAGCAATTGAAGTGCCTTGATGGTGTTTAGTTCTTCTGTGCCTATTGCGAACTCGTAAGGTGTGTTTTGGATGAGGTTTTATATTTTATGGTTATATTTAGTATTGTGAGTGAATTATAATATGGGTTTTTCAATAGGTGTTATAAATTCATTCGGGATAAGGAAGGGTCTTGATTCTTCAGCATTGAAGGTCTTTGTGATGGGACAGATTATGTACATTTGGGAAACTGGGTCATAGTTGCGGAGGATGCCGTGTAGGTTAGTATCTTGGAGTAATTTCGCATAGGGTACACCGTCTGCTCGTCACGCTATCTTATTTTCGGCCGGATAGATTCGTGCAACTTCTTAGTCTAATACCGATCCTAATCTTACTCTTATATCTACTAGTCTCAGGGTGTTTAACTAGTCTCTGCTAGGCTCAATAGATCTAGAGTATACTGGCTTATTGCGACTGCTGAAGTTCTCTTGGAGAGGTAACTAATTTCTAAGTTAAATTCAAATCTCTCTTGTGCTGAAATTACAAGTAATTTTAGCACTTACAAATAAGTGGGTTGTTAGTTGGATGGATTATGATTGGTTAATATCAAATATTTTACAGTGGTAAAATATCTAATTTATCCAATAATGAAATGTAGTTTAGATCAGGTTCCACCCATCCGGGGCTTACAGAGTGTTTTAGAACTATCTTTCTTCTCTGCAATTGAAGGATGGATGATGAACGTTGGTATTTGGCGAACATCATTTTCTTATCCGGTTCCTCTTGAAGAAGAACGTTCCAGGACGCTGAAATCAGGGATAGGAAGTTGTTATTACGTCATTCGACAACGACTGTGATACCCAATGAAATCAATCCGATTTCAAAATGGTTTGCTATGTCAGGTTTTTCTGTATTAGTAGAGAACTGTTTTGTGTGCAGCCTCGTCTGGGAATGGCGTGAAGATCGTGTTTGGAAGGGATGCCTTGTAACTCGGATCTGTACGTATACTTGAGCATCGAGGTGGTCATTGGTCTAGTTCAATGGAGTCTTTTTCTGCGAAGTCAAGTCGTACTCTAAATCCTTTGAGTCGTAATTGTGGACGGCATGTCGGTTGTGTTTAGCCATTCTTTTGTTCGAGTGTGATGGGATCGTCTAGTCTTTGGATGTTCGTCTTTGTTGTTGTGTATGATCTATATACTGCAAAGTATGATTTACATTTTATAAATTTATGTTAATTTGGTTTTTTAATTCTGAACTTAGTTAGTCGTTTTCAAAAATGCGTTTTGTTTTAGTTCAGTTATTTTGAAGAGTTACTCACCCTTGAGTACCTCTTATTAAAAGTTGAAGTGTGGTCACAAAGCGTTTGTGTAGCGCGGTGGGTTAGGCCGGCTATGATCATGCTCAGGACGTCCTTCTCTGGTAGGTTAGGCCAGGAGTGGGAGTATGATTGCATGCTGTTTCTTTGAGAAGTCCTGTTATGTGATAACGTTTTATGTTGGTTTTTTTCTGGTCTTTCTTAGGTTACTTTGGTTGTGTCCTTTTTTCAAAAATCGAATTGTTTCTGGTTTGGGTTTGTCTTGCGACTTTTTTGTGTTTTATTATTTCTTTCTTAGACTTTATAATAAGTCTTCAAAAGAATAAATTATCCAGTTTTAAACTGGGTTAAACCGGTTTGGGTACCGTTGGTTTTCTTTTCTTAGTCATGCTGTTATTTTATGATTTGTGGTGTTTAGTAAGCTGCATTGCTTAGTTTGGCTTAGTATATAATTCCTTTCCAACCGGGTTAAAGGAAAGTTTGAAACTTGTTATCGTGTGTTAGAGTTGTTGATAGTGAAAGCTTGAAACTTAAAATCGTTATTTAAACAATTCTTCGTGGGCGAGCTGTGCGAGTTTGCATAGATTTGCTGTGCGAATGAATGAAAATATTGAAAGGGTTAGTACTGCTTTCTCATTTTATCAATTTATTGAATAGAGTTTGAATTTTACTGCGTTTTTGGGAAGTTTAAAATTATAAATTTTCATCGTATTTATTTTTACTGCTTCGTGGGAAATAATTTATAAATGAAATTACTACAATGGGTATGCATTTTACTACATTATTTGGTGCTAAAGATTAAGGAGTTTGAATATAATTTAACAGGTTTGTATTTTTATTTGTCTTTTTCTGTTTTGTAGATGATTGTGGTGTGAAGACTGAAAGAATAAATCAAACATTGATAGAAAATGGTTAGTACACATTTGAACTTATTAGTTAAAAGTATTTTAATTTATAGTTACCTTAGTCTTCTAGGAAAAAGCCGTGGGGGAAGATGTCGTGAATCATGTCTGATATTGTTAGTAACTTGGCTAGTAAGCGTATGATGTTTTTAGTTTGTAGCAGTGGCCAAAGCAATTGAAGTGCCTTGATGGTGTTTAGTTCTTCTGTGCCTATTGCGAACTCGTAAGGTGTGTTTTGGATGAGGTTTTATATTTTATGGTTATATTTAGTATTGTGAGTGAATTATAATATGGGTTTTTCAATAGGTGTTATAAATTCATTCGGGATAAGGAAGGGTCTTGATTCTTCAGCATTGAAGGTCTTTGTGATGGGACAGATTATGTACATTTGGGAAACTGGGTCATAGTTGCGGAGGATGCCGTGTAGGTTAGTATCTTGGAGTAATTTCGCATAGGGTACACCGTCTGCTCGTCACGCTATCTTATTTTCGGCCGGATAGATTCGTGCAACTTCTTAGTCTAATACCGATC